TATCCAGGACTTTCTAATGTTTAACCAGGAATGAGAACCACAGATTCGGAATATAAGGCTAGTGAGGTCTTTGGTCTGTGGTCTGCTTCAGCAGGCAGTCCCCACCGGAAGCCTTGAGATTGCAAAGCAGATGGGTCAGAGGAAAGCAACTCCAAGTGACAAGCAGAAGGAAGTCTCCAGTGATGATTGATTTACAGGGATTTCAGTGGAATTGATGAATCCCTTTATCAATAAGTGATGTCATGAATTTACAAATGGGGAATCCAGAATTAGGAAAGAAAGGACTCCAGTGAACAAATAGCAGAACTGAATTGTCATTTATGACATGCAAAAGCTACAGAGAAAGATTCTATTCTGAATATGTTATATTTGGGATGCATACTTTACCTATGGATTAGATGCTGAGTTGGCAGTATATATGTCTGAACTTCATGGTTGGAGGTAGAAGTTTCGCAATCATAAAAATAGAGATGGTATTTAAAGCCACAGACTGGATCATTTCATCTAGTAAATGACAGCATGGCTTCCCAGAAGCCACACGCAGAAGGTTCTCGTAGGACCATTGTCAGGCTTGCTCTGAGGCATGTTTAGAAGGGTGATTGCTAAATCATAAACCATGCTGACAATTTTTTCCCCACTAAATACTGCCAGATTGCTCTACAGAATGTGTTTACCAGTTTAAACCCCCTTCGGCAGTACATTCGGATTCCCATTTCCCTATATTGGTGCCAATATTTGAGATTTTTGCCAAACTGATGGGTAAAGCAGTGGTGTCTGGTGGAGCTGGCTCCTGAGAATGAATCGAACCCATTTCTTCCCAACTCCTTGTTAAGCGACCTCACACTAGCAGCCCGAAACTGGCAGGGGTGAGAGTTTGCACTGTGGACATTGGCCAACACTGTAAATCAGGACAACCCCATCCCCAAACTGGTTTTAAATAATACTGATGGCTAGAGGTAGTACCGCACCGCTTGTATTTCTACTCTCTCATTGCCCGTGAGATGCTCAAACTCACTAGCCATCTGGCTTTCCCTGCTGTGAATTGCCCATTCCTATCCTCATGCTTATATTGAATTTTCTGATTGTTTTTTGTTGATCTGCAGAAGTTCCTTATATGTTTTGGATATTATTCCCTAGTTGCTTTAGAGTACACCGTACATACATCCTGTCCCCAATTCATCAGCGGTCCGTTGGTTTTTCCTATAGTATTCCTCACTGAAGAGAAACCGAAATTGCCCTGCAGTCAAACCTCCCAGCCTTTTGTTGTGAGGCGTGTGCTTTTGCAGTCTGGGTTTGTGAAGTCAGTCCCTACTCCACATTCACAAAGATATTCTCCTAAATTTTCTTTTTAACCTTTCCAGTGCAGGTCTTTAATCCACGTGGAGGTCATCTTTGTGTGTGGTGGATATGGGAAATCCAACTTCATTGTTTCTTCACACACTAAGCCGGTTTCCCCAGCACCATCTTCTGAATGACTTACCTTTTTCTCAGTGATTTCTGATTCCACTTTTACAAAGACTGTGGTCCCCTGGGTCTGCTCCTGAGCTCTGAGTTCCACGTCACTGTTCTGGGCATCAGTGACTAGCCCTACACCCTGGTCTCACTATGTGGTAACGACATAAAACCTGGCAGGGCAGGTTTCCTCTCTTTTCCAAATTGGTTTAACTGTTTCCAAATTCATTTTTCCTTATGGAGTTTCTATGTTTATTGAAGTTCTTTAGACTTTGAGTTCCTGATGGAATTTGGGTGGTTAGAACAGTAAGTTCAGGGATTATAAATGGTCATTTTTACAATGTAAAGTCCTTCTATCCATAGTATGCCTTCATTTATTCAATCTTTTTGTATGTACTTAAATAGAATTTTAAAATTTTCCTCATGAAGTTCTTGTAAGTAGTTAGTTAATTCCTGGATATTATGCTTTAGTGTTAAATTGCTATTCTGAGTGGTCTTTTACTGCCCAATATGTTTCCTGGTTGCTTATTGCCTAATTGATTCTGTTGGTTTTTCGAATGCTAATGATTATATCATCTACCCACAAAAATATTTTAGGGGATCTACCTAGTGCTCTGCTAGTATGCATTTAACTCCCTCTGCTAGTTTGCCTCCACTCTGGCACCCCAATTCTGCCAGCTGGATGGCTCTTGGGGTCCCGATGACTTGTACACCCAGATTCTGGAAACAGACTTCTTTTCTTCCTTTCCTCTAAATGCTATCCTGCTTGATACCTTGGTCCATGTAGGAGCAGTGACATTGTCCTCTAACCCCTTTCTCATGGTTTGGGGTCCTGTTAGTGCCAACAGACCTTCTTGATGCTGACTTGCCCCAAATTGGCAGCCTGAATTTCTGAACAATCCCTGCTGCTCAGTGTAGCATTTCTGTGTCCCGAGTGCCCAGAAGGGCACCCTGTGTGGTAGTTTCAACTAGTGCGTCCAAGAGGCCTTCATATCCTACAGACTTACATTGGAATCTTATTTCTGCCCCAGGGTACACGGAGCAAATTATGCAGCCTCCTGGAGTCTGTTTGTTTGTTTGTGAGGTGAAGGCGTGTAAGATTCCATAGGTAAAGGGCCATACAGTGGCCGGGGAGTATGCCCCTTCTCCACACTGATGCTGACCACCAATGCTGATCCCCTCCTGGGACTGTGATTTATTGCCATATTGTCCAGGAAACTTGTACCTTCAGATTTAATTCAATCTCAGCTGCTGCAGCTGGACCATATCCCCATGTGCCTTTTCATCTTGGTGGAAGGTTCGAGGTCAAGTTCTAGCCCCATATCATTGCCCAGACCAACATTTGTTCACTTGGCAATCCTTGGTTCTAAGAATTATAGGACCCATGGAATGCTCCAGGAGGCAAAACTCTGGTGGGCACTTGCATTCTTGATGATGGTCTAGAAAATAATTTCAGTTTTTTGAAGAAAGGCAATGAGGTGAATGGGAGATTCCCTCTAATGATTTGGTATCCTGGGAATTTGCCTGTGTGTGGTGTTCAGGTGTAGGAGAAAAAGACAGTGGCCTGGCTGGTTCTAGCAGAGATTTTTATCGTCATTAAGAACAACTCAGCTAGCCACACCCTGTCATTTTCTAAAACTGGTATCTCAGGGGGATCATTTAAAGCAGCTGTAAAAGTGAACTGTATACCTGTAGAAACCTCACCAATAGCACCTTCTGTTACCCACAGATCTTTATAAGTTTCTGTGGCTGACAGTAGAGAACATTTATGGTTGCTTAAAGCCAGCCAAGGGTAGATTGCCTGCCTTCTTTTTATCAGTTAAGAGGTGGGCGGGGTCAGACAAGACCGGGCTGTGAAGAGAGCTGGGGAGGGAGGTGGAGCCCCGCCCCCTAGCCCAAGAAGGAAGTATCTGCTCACATCATCCTTCTTGAAAGAGCAGGAAGATGCTAAACCTGCAGGGGCAGAGAAACTGGCAGCTGACCAGGGGCTGTGGGATGGTCATGGTGTTTACATGTTGCGCAAGTGCTATAGTTTTAGTTGACAGTGTGCCCCACCCCATGCAACAATGTGATGTGACTGCTGCAAACAAGTATTTCGATACTTTGAGCCACGCTAATACAAGTACAGGGTGTAGAAAGTGGTGGCAGCTTCCTCTCTGCACTCAACGGGACAGCCAGTCCCTTCCTGAGCTCCAGACAAGTGAGATGCTCCACCCCGCGTCCCTCAGCATGCCGGTGAGTGGGGTTTGAACCGTGGCATGCGAAGGGCAGCCTGAGGGACAGAGAATGCCTGTGCTGAGTACCCTGAGCTGGGGTCAGACCCGATTTGGAAGTCCCTGGGCTAGAAACGGAACACAGTGGGGAGGGGATGCAGGAGGCTGGACGTAAGGTCCAAGGTAGGAGGACCTTTTCCATGAGGCCTCCCAGGGAAGTGCGTTCCTGGTGACTGGAGGCGTCCAGCTGTGACCCTTTTTGGGGAGGATGTTGTAAGGGAGACTCAAGCGACTGGAGTGGGGCGTTAGCCTTTTCTAGAATCAGCGATGCTAACAAGGAAAGATGCTCTGGTGTGCCCCGAACATTGCTTCTGCTCTTGCAGAGACATGGTTGAGCATTCATTCAGCCTCGGCTCTGCCAGACTCTGGGCGGTGGACGTGGGGGTAGCGTGTAGGAGTTTGTACACCGGAGGCAGAACGGAGGGCCGCCGAGTTGTTAGGGTGTCACACTGCTGTCTTGGCGTTAAAAACCTCAGTCGTGGGGAAGCAATGGATTCATTCAGTGTCTTCATTGTGGGGACTCATTGCACAGCGAGGCCTTTCCTTCCCCTGGATGGTAGAGAACCGGGATGTAGGCATTCAACTCTGGGAGCTGTCACAGTTTCAGCACTTTCCGGTTCTTGGGGGTTGTCTAAGGGGACCAGGAGAGAGGCAGGCGAGTGGGGTGCAAAGCAGCGGAGAACAAACTTCTGGGATGACTACTTGCTTCTGCCTCTACACGGATGCACTTGGGTGTAATTATTCAACTTTGGGTACACATTAACTAGGCTTTTTACAGCACAACCTGCAAACAGGTAATTGGTGGATCTGCTCTGGGCTGCGCTTGGGGCTAGACACTGGGGAGCCCCGAATGGATAAGACAAGGTCCCCTGCCTTGAAGAAGGTGGCAAGAGTGCTTCTGGCCCCGGACGCAGGTCAGATTCCTTGCGCTAAGGGCTTTAGTGGAAGGGTGTCTGTACAGCGGGCCGCGGGCTGCTTCCCGCGTTCACTGCCCTGGGCCGGGCGGGGTTCCTCTGAGAGGCCACCTCGGGATGCGGTGGAAATGTCGCAGCAGCGCCACCTCCCCGCAAGGTGAACCCATGAAACTCTCCCCCGCCCCAGGGTCCTAACCTCAAAGCTCAGCCTTGCGTCTGTTGAGGGGACGGGGACTCGGGCAGGAGGCGAGCTAGGGCAGGCGCGCCCCCGCCTGCAACACCCTCTTCTGGCGCGCGCGCCGGGACCGGGCCTGCGCCGGCTGGGGGGGCCTGCACTGCGCGCGCGCAGACCCCGCGTGGGACCCGGCTCCGGCGCGCGGAGGCGGCGGGCGGGAGGGGCCGGTGGAGGTCGGGAGCGGCGCCGCAGGAGGCTCCCCGGTGGCCACCGGAGACAGGCTCCGGGCTCAGGAGCGCGCCTCTCGGCCTTTCCTCCGCTTCCCCGCGGTCCCAGCCTGCCGCCCCGAGAGGAACCTAGCAGGTGGGGCGGGAGCGCGCGGGGCTCCAGGCCGGGTGGGCGGGGGCGCGGGTGCCCGTGGGGCCGTTGGCGGTTCCGGGCGGGAGGCGCTGGGGGCTCGGGGAACCTGGCGGCCGCCTCCGTTGGGTGCCAGTGTCGCCGGCTCCCTGAGGCCTCTCAGGGGCTGCGCGGCCCAGCGGAGGGGTTGTGGGTTCCCGTTTCCATTCCCCACTGACGGGTTAACTTTAGGATGAGAGGCCCCCCACGGTGAGTGGGGCTGTCCGGAACCAGCGGCGGCCGCGGGAGCTCTTCAGCTCCAACCTTGACCGCCCTGGCGCCCGGCCGGTGCCCCGCCCCGCGCGCGCGCGCGGGTGTGCTGCGTGCTGTGCTCTGCCATCCGTCCTGTTCTTGAAACGGGCCTCTTCAGAGCTCCCCTTGCTTATTCAATTAAGAAACCTTTTGGCAGTGGAATTTCAAAGTTAAACCAAATGACTTTGCTTCCAGTCTTTTGCTAACCAGAGATTCCTTAATTCTAAGTTGTGGGAATTTGAAGTTTGGAGAAACCCTTTCGCCGAGACCTGTCCTAAACGGAGACAGGGGTTAGACCCAATTCTCCTTGTGGATTAGATTGATGGGTTTATAAGTCAGCTTTCCTTTAAATTAGATGTCACGTTGTTCGTTCATTCAGAGACTGTACAGGCAATTTGGGTTTAAACTCCGTTTGAGACAGTGTTTTGATATGTATCAGAGGATGACATTCTCATGGGATATTAACTTGCGCTGTGTTCCCAGCTAGGCTGTGTGGTTCCTAGTGTAGCAATATCATAGTAGAAATCGTGCCTTTGATATGTTTCAACCCTCTTCGTAGAAACATCCCCCGAATCCTTTAATTGTAAGTGCTTCGCTTGCACGTTGACATTTGCCATTTAAGAATCTTCTGCACAATTTAAAGAAAGTCGTTTAAATGGCAGATCACATGGTGCAGGACGTGCAGCGACTGTGGAAGGAAAGGAGAGAATGAAAAATGGCAGAAGTTTAGCTTTCTGCGTTTTTATGCTGCAAAGCTTCCCTGGTTCTATCTTATTTTTTTATGCTAACATAAATATGCATTTTTTAAAAGATTTTATTTATTTATTTTTAGAGAGAGGGGAAGGGAGGGAGAAAGAGAGAGAGAAACATCGCTGTGTGGTTGCCTCTCACGTGGCCCCCACTGGGGAAATGGCCCGCAACCCAGGCATGTGCCCTGACTGGGAATCGAACTGGTGACCCTTTGGTTCGCAGCCCATACTTAATCCACTGAGCTACACCAGCCAGGGCCAATATGTATTTTTTCATGCTTTCATTCAATATGGACTACCTGGGCTGTAAGATTCAGTCTTGAAAAGTAATGGAAATGTTCGTCTATGTTTTGTAGACGGTTTGGCACAAATAATAAAGGTGGGGTTTCTTTCAGATGTTTCGTGTGACCGGGCACAGTCCCCACCAGCAAGGCCTTTTAAAAAAGTGACATTTGATGGTGTCTTCTATAGATTATAATAACTTCAGTTTTTTGAAACATGCTAGTGATCTTCATGTTACAGAGTCAATTTAACTCTCCCAGTTTAAACCTACAAATATCTGGTTACTTTTAGGCTTACTGTGCCCTTATTCATTGTGTATAATTTTAACTATGCTGTTATGGGCTTGCTCCATTGTTAGCCTTTATTTGTTTCCTGTTGTTTTGGGCACCTGTGCTTTGTTTTCGCCCCTGGACCTCGAGCAACGCTCTTCCCTTGCGGCAGTATTCGATAGAACGTCCCACCACACGTGGTGGGCACTTGTGTGGAGCTGGAGCGATGGAGGAACTGACTTTAATTTGACTTACGTAACCCCATGTAGCTTAGCTGGAAGCTACCTGCTTGGGCCCTGCAGCTTTAATTATTGGTCCCCCGGGAAGTCTCCTCTGGCCTCTTGAATCCAGCACTTAGCACGAGTAATTCCGGCTTTCCTGCTGGAATCCTAAACTGGGCTGGAATGTATGGATAGGAGGGCAGGGGCTTACCTATCTTCTTTATCTTTGCTAACCCCAGCTTAGGATTCAGTAAGAAACACTTGATTAGTATTTGTCAAATGACTAAATAAACTCCCGGAGGGCAGGTATCTTTTGTATTCTCTCTATGACCTAGACTGAACTAAGTATCGAACACTGCAAATCTCTGCTTAGTGTCTGAACCTATTTCCTGTAAATGGAATGTTGGAGATCTATTTTAAATGCTTATTTTGGTTGGGTTGCCTTTTTTTGGAATCTTTCTTTTTTAAATCTTCACCCAAGGATGTTTTTCATTGCTTTTAGGGAGTTGAGGGGGGAGAGAATGAATATGAACATGAATGAATCATTGACACGAGAGAGAAATATCAATCAGTTGCCTTCTCAGGTGTGCCCTGATCGGGGTTTGAACCCTCAACCCAGGCATGCACCCTGACTGGAAACTGAACCCACGGCCTCTCATTCTATGGGACGATGCTCCAACCAACTGAGCCACTCCGGCCAGGGCTGGACTCCCTCGAAGACTCATAAGAAAATGCTGTATGAAGTTGAGTGAAAGGGTCCCATGACTCCAACTTGTGTGGACACAGCTTGGGTTTCCTGTTAGTTGAGCAGCTCACGTATGCTGCCCTTAAACCACATTCCAAAAAAAAAATCTGAGGGCACCTCCTGGCCTCAGTGAGGCTCCTTAGTGAGGCCCTAGCGGCCTTCACCTGCTCGGAAGAAGTGAGTGGGCTTCTCCGCTCACTGCCACTCTGTGTTAGGGCACGGCCCAGGAGTCCTGGAGAAATGAGATATTACAGCCATGTTACCATATGCTTTTGCTCAGAGCTGATTTGGGGTGATGGAGTAGGATGGGATTCCTATACAAAACAGAGCTTTGGGAATGTGAGTCCACTCATTGCATGTTATGTATAATTAGGGCCCACTTTTTAAAAAAATTACAGGTTTACTTTGTATACTCTGTTGTCACCAGTTAACCGTAGTAGAATTTCAAATGAAAGTGTGGACTCAATTCAGTTCGTTTCTTTTTGTTTTAGGCATCTGAGCTTGACCAGTATTCCCAGGTATCATGGATCTTTGCATCTAGAAATTGCTTTTAGAAAAGGATTCTAAGACTACACAAAAGTTTGTAGAGGTATATAATTTTCTTTGGTGGGACAAAAGGTAGAATGTTGAGTTTTTAGTGAAGGAAAGAAAATGAGAGTGAGGAAGAAGGCAATGAAGACAAAATACAAAGAATCTTCGCTATGTCGGTTAGGTAATATTGGAGCTTCTCTGGGCTTGAAGTCACTCATATGTAAAATGATGGAGTTGATTACATTTTGTTGAGTGAATCATCTTCCCACCTTGTCTGTAGGACTTGAATATTTACTAAGTGTGTGTGAGCGACCTATCTAACTCTGTGCCGAGTGACAGTTGTGTAAGATACAGTTCTTTAAGAATCTCAGCAGTCTACAATGAAATGAAAGGTGCTTTGGGGATCACTTTTAAAAAACATTTTTGAATGGAAAACCTATTTGAAAGGAAGATTTTTCAAAGGTGGTCCTCTTCGCTGACTCAGAGAGATAACCACTTAGTCACTTTGCCGGAGAATTATGAGTATAAAAAAAACAGGACTGAGTCTCAAAGTGTGATTGTAATCAGGTTAATCTTCCTAGATCACAGCTTGATCGTCCGATACTCCCCTCTCAAACAATCAGTGGTTTTCAGTGCTTGTGGAATTAGATGGCTCGGTCTTTGATGGGGTATTTGAAGTGCTCCTGAGTATAACCCTCAAAAACCATCACAGCTGTACCTCTTACTGTTTTCCTGGGCGTAGCGCATGTTCTAGCCCACTGCTCCTTTAAAGTGCTCCCCTTTTAAATTTCTGCCCCGATTTCTGCCTACTCATCTTCCAAGACTCATCCTAGGGGATGTCTTCTTCCCCGCACCACTTCTTCCACAGGACGTATTCCTTGTCCTTATGTTTTAGAGCAAAACCCATTCTGTTTCATCATCTATAGTAATTAGTGCTGTTGTAGTCACTGTAGTAGATTGTAAGCACCGACTGTCTGTTACTCATTTCCGTATTTCCTGAAATCTCTAGAGGAGTGTAGTGCCTTGTACTGGTTACATATTTATTAAATGTTATTTCTCTTCCTTGACTTTAAACGTAGCTTCGTACTCTGCATAGATATTTTGTTCAAACTTAACTGCCAAACAACTGGAGGCCGCCCAGTAGCAATCCTGAGTTACTTCCGCACCGAGAAGTTACAGTGTTGAAGGCGAGCTGTCTCCGTGGGGTGCACTTTGGAGTTGATAGTATTTAGGGGGCATCACCATGCTGTATGGTACCAGCTCCTTGTTGTTTTCCTATTTATGTGGCAAGGTTAATGTCAAAATGATTTGAAGTATTGGGTGGCAAGGAATTTTACCATCCGTGAAAACTTGAATACCTTTAACATAGTAACACACTGAATTATGTTATTTAATGTATAGCAATATCCATGTCCATATAAACATGAACCTCATGAGAAAAAAGAAAGCATTTTACTCTTGTCCAGTTCCTGCTGGGATTCAGAAATCCTGTAAATCAAGTTTGAAAGGACCCAGTTGTCTCGGAGAGGTGCCTGTTTCCTGAGAAGGGTGGCGATGGTAGAGGTTTACTAATTTAGATGTGGGCTTGGTTAACCAAGTATAAGAGCACACACTGAGTGATACCCAGCGTGGCAGAATCTGCTAGAGTAAGCTCACAGCTACTTTTACTTGTTCTATTTCTTTCTGCTGAAATAAATGAAAATCACTTTTCATTTGGTTTTGTAATATGGTTCTCTGCTCATATTTAAAAACAGAGAGTAAGTCATGATGTTTCATGGTTTAAAGATGTGATGTAAAAGAAATGGAAAGGATTTTGTCATCGTAGTTCAGCTTGACTAGCGTTTTCTCTGCTTTCTCCATCATTTCTGATGTATGGGCTTGTTGACATGCCCGCCTGCGCCAGAGCAGATGTGTTCAGAGAGCTCCTGTTGTCCGGGAGGAAGAGGTGACATCAGTGACGTGATTTAAAAGCCGTCTGCTGCTGGGATGGAATAAACAGATCCCGTGTGTTGCTAAGAAGTGGAACCACGTCAAGCTCTTAGATTTGTATCAGTGACGGGATTAATTTCCGATGAAGTTTTCCGGGACGTCAGGAATTAATGAGCACACCCTAAACTAGGTTATTTCCGTGTGATGAGCGCATGGCATGAGCTGTGGGATGGCAGGTGGAGTAACCTGTGCCAGCTTCCAGGAGAAGTTGAACACCCATTGACAAGGACTAATATGCCCAGGTTTACTACTGCGGGTAAAGAGAACAGCACCGATTTAGATTAGCTCAGCATTTAAAACTGTTCTCACCTCCTATTGGGAAATAATGTTACTCCTGAGCTTTGTCTAGAAAGATTATGTGTGCTGCTGACTCTATAAACAGTAAGGAACCCTTTGGCCCCTTCCTCTTGACAAGCACTTCTTGAAGGTTGGAGTTAAAAATGTCAGCTAGTTAGATACGAAAAGAACGCAGTCTTTCGGGACTGAAGGCAGTCACTCTTCACCGCACACAGATGTCACAGCCATGCTTTCTCCCCCTTCTCACTCAAGGTGGCTTTCTAGAAGATGACCATAGAGGACCTTCCAGGTTTTCCACTGGAAGAGAACTCTCTGCTCGGAAGGTACCCGTTCCTGTTTCCAGGCTCCGACGCCTCCGTGGTCTTCTCCGTCTCCGCGGCCCCGATGCCTTCAGACTGCGGTACGTGGGGCCGCTGTCTGCATTTTCTGAGAACCAAACCGAACCGTAGCTCGGCTTCTGCCTCACGTCCTTCTCACACTCGGAGCTTTTCCCGGAACAGTTTGCTGTGGTTTCCACAACGTTGCTAGTTTTTGTTTTTCAGAAACACAATGGCCTTTTCTGCCTCTTAGCCTAAATGTTTCATTTCTGCCATGAGCATTTTTATTATGTAAAAATGTTCATTTTAAGCACCGTGATGGATTTAGAGGATCTCATTTTTAGGATGCAGTGGTACTGAGACATCTCGCATTCTTCTGCTGTTGATGGATTTATTGTGGGTAAATACCCTGACTTATGTAAAAAGCCATATACTAAAAAAAAAAAAAATGACCTAAAAGCACTGTCAACCAGCCATCTCCAAGGGCCCTGCTGTTTCTGAAAGGCCCGAGTTCTCACCAACACTCCAAATAATCACCCCTGACTCGATCGGACTCAACTTCCAGCCCACAAGCCAGCCGCGTGTGGGCCCTGTCTCGCCCATCCCCCACTGCAGTGGTCAGTGTGAACCCGCAGAACGTGGTAAAACCTAGGGAGAAAGCAGGGAGGGTGAGACCTTTACCTGGAACGTGGGATGAGATTGGTTTGTACTTAAATAGGATCATTTAAATCTCCCCTGTAAAACGTAAATTTAGAAGTGTTCGAGTTTTCATCTATTTAAACTTGTGTCCCCAAGACCCTATTTTATCAGATAGTTGAGTTTATAGGTCAGCCTGGCTTTAATCCTGACTCAGCCATTTACCAGTTGTGTGATCTTGGTTATATTACTTATTTTTTCTCTCCCCCTGCTTCTTTTTTGCTCAAATGAGACTAATGATAATACCTACCTCATAGGGCTATTGTGAGGATGAAGTAAGATAATGTACATGAAGCATACAGGGTGAGACAAAAGTAGGTTTACAGTTGCAGAATGGAAAATTCTCAATTCCCAAATAATTAATAAATAAGAAAATGAGAGTAAACTCTGTGTTTCACCGACTCGCAGTTGTAAACCTGCTTTTGCCCCACCCTGTGTATAACAGTCCCTGGCACCCATTAAGCACTTGATAAGTATAACTTATTATCATTATTATTTAAATGATTCTACTATCTGCCATTACTTCAGGATATAATTACCGAAGCATCGTTACATGCTTCAGTATTTATTGGCTACCTCCACCCACCATTATTCTTCCTGGTTCAGCTCTTCATGCTTATTTCTCCTACATTTATTTTCTAAATCTTTGCTGCGCACAGTGTGACTCTTGGTCTAGTAGCATTGGCCTCACTGGGCGCTTGTTAGAAATGCACGGCAAGGCCCCACCCGAGACACTGGGTTAGAATCTGCGTTGTAACGGGCTCTCTAGGTGACTCCCGTTCACACGGGCGTTTGGGAAGCCCTGGCGCAGGTGGGTAACAGAATAGTTTTGTCTGTCTCTTCCTACTGTCCTGGGGAGGTTTCGATTAGCATGGAGGTTATTTTAAATAATGTTCTTGGGAAAATCGATACCTTCCAATGCAGGAACATCATGTGTGTCTCTCCATTTAAGTTCCCATGCCCCTTCAGTTTTGTTTAAATGAGCCTTACACGTTTATTGGCATGTTTGTTACTTTTACTGTTACTGTGTATTGGTTTTTCTCATTGTATTTTATTTTTAAAAAAAATAGGAAATCATTGACAAATGCGAAAAACAGTGATAGCAAAAATATATATCACACATATTCACCATCAGAATGAACAAATATTAGCATTTTGTTATGTTTCCTTTAGCTCTTGTTTTTTTTTAATTAAATGAAATAAAACTTTAAAGTTGAACTCCCCTCCATTTTTTCCTTTCTGATCCTATTCCCTTTGCTTCCCAGGGGCAACTGCTATCTTATATTTAGTGTGAATATTCCAGACCATAATATACTTTTACTACTTATATGAATGTCTGTAAACAATATGCAGTATTTTTTGTGTATTTACAATTTTAGGTAAAAAATAGATACTGTATATTATTCTTCAACTTAATTTATTGATCAGTATTTTTGAGACCTATCTTTCTAAGTATCACTTAGATACTGAATTCATTTACTTAGTTGTACACTTACTCTTCATGACATATTTATGTTTTTAGAGGCAAGAATATTGATAAAACTTGACAAATTTTCTCTGACTTAGAAGTAATTTTTGGAAAATTCAGGGTTTGAGATCAGGACTTGTTAACTTCTGTTTTTGGTTTATCTATAAGAAAATTGCGGTGTGATAAATCAAAATTTCATTCTCATAACAATTCAGGAAAACCTCATACTTATGGTGATTTTGACTTTGCTTTTGAGAATTGCTTAAGGGAAACCTACTTTTTTTCCCACATCTAAAAATATTTGTATCATTTAAGCCCTGGTCTTTTTGTGTATTATTTTCAATATATTTATTTGCGACTTTGAATAAATTTAATTTGCTCCTTTTTTATTTCAGAGTTTTCTTTCTTTGATCCTAATGATACATCATGTCAGGAAATTCTCTTTGATCCCAAAACGTCTGTATCAGAATTATTTGCCATTTTAAGACAGTGGGTTCCTCAGGTCCAGCAAAACATCGACATTATTGGAAATGAGGTAAGGAATTACTGCATCTTAGGTTTTGCTTTGTTAGGGTGCTTAACGACATAGATTCTCCCCCCATCTAAATGGAAAAAATGGTGACAAAGGGGGGACCTTGAGTGTCTGATGTTTGCTCTTTGCATTTCCAGGTTTTTCACGGAGCAGTTAGTGCTCCACATTCCCCATCGTTTCCTCGTGCTCCGCACTTTCTTACCCTTGGAATTCTGACATTATAGACTTCTTGTGACGGCAGGCATTTTTCATATTTTCTTTTTCGAACAAATTAATTTTGTAAACTTAAAATTATTTCATGAGAGTATTTGATTATCATCATGTTTTATCTGTACTTTTGGGTAGTTTGTTAAAGATCTAGGCTTAAATGTAATTTAAAAAAAATACTTGGTTTTTTGAAGGTGAGATGGAAGAGTAACTGGGTCTCTTGACCAGCCTATTGTCATACTGTACAAAGAGAGAGCTTTTTTTTTTTTCAAATTTACAAACACTAGAAAGAAAATTTTGCTTCCTTTTGGAGGAGTTAAGGAACACATTTGGAGTGCTAGATGACCTTGTAATACCCTTTAAAAATTTCCCTGCTCTGTCGACAAGCCCACTTCCCATTACTGTTGGGCACAGGTTGACAGTCCACCGCAGGAGAAGCCAGTCCTGTCTGTCCGCTTTGTCGAGAACTAGCTCGGATGAGAGGGACGCACTCGCCCGGCTGCAGCGCTCAGGTCGTTACTGTGGTCTCTCCCTTGGCTCCCTCAGATCCTGAAGAGAGGTTGCAACGTGAACGACAGGGACGGACTGACAGACATGACTCTCTTGCATTACACCTGCAAGTCTGGAGCTCACGGTGTGGGTGAGTGTGTGGTGACCCTGCCAAGTGCCCAGCAGGTCTGTGCTGGGGTTAGTGTAAGCATTCCCTGCCCAGCACGGTCCCCCTGAGGGCACCTCACTGTGGCGGCCATGTTCCCTGAACAGGGGAGGACTCGGTTAGGTCCTTCCACAGGCCTTGTTCCCTGTTCTTCCTGTTCTCAGGGTGGTCTGTGGGACCTCCTGCTGCCTCCCACCCTTTCTGGCCCCAGGCTCGGTGTCCAGGTGGCCCGGCCCCTGCAGACCCCAGTCCTCAGGCCTGTCTAAGGTCTGTGCCCCCAAACACGACATATACTCATGTCTTCCAAACCTGGTGTTCTCCTTTGCTTTCCTATTATGTAAACCTCCCTCCATTATTTAACTCTTATGACCATCTCTCTATTTCAGCTCTCTGATACGCTGCTTTTGAAAGTGTTGATGGTGAAGGATTTTTTTCTTTTTGCAATCTATTATGGACTGATACTTCTGTAAAATAACATAAAAACAAAATTATAATAGAAAAATGAAATAAAGGCATATAAAACACAAGCCTAAATATTTTTAAAAGGCATAAAATGACATCTCAATGATATTTTCATGAGAAATGATTATATGAGAAGAAAGAAAAGAGTCATAAAACATTCAGACGAATTACATTTGGAGCCGGCCCCGGTCCGCGGAGCACCGGCCACTGCACTGCTTTTCGTGGCTTCGTGGTGTTCCATCCACCCCACGGCCGTCTCGTACTTTATTTCACCGACTTCTTATTGTACTTCTAGGTTGTTTCAGAATTTTTATTCATAGTAAAAAGTGCCATGGTGAACATGTTTATAGCTAAGTGTATATCCATATCCCCGAGTATGTTTACTTTGTTAAAATAAATTCCTCGTAAGTGAAATTTCTGAGGTATAAGTGTATATTCAGTATGTGCTGTTTGCTTTGGTTTGTTAAATGAGGTAGTGGATAGCCGTCCATGGGAACGTAATATGTACCAAAGAGGATAATTTAGAAAACCTTCCTCAGGTGATGTTGATACAGCTGTGAAATTTGCAACTCAACTCATTGATCTGGGAGCGGATGTTAGTCTGCGGAGTCGCTGGACAAACATGAATGCTTTGCATTATGCTGCTTACTTTGATGTCCCTGAGCTGGTGAGAGTGATTCTGAAGACATCTAAACCGAAAGGCAAGTACTGTAAGATCGCCGTTAGATGTTACCAACTGAACACTTCATTAGTGGCATAAAAGTGATAATTCAAAGAGATTTGCCCTTCTAATTTGTCTCGTTTCATATGCCCTCCCATCACTTAAAAAATACTTAAAATTTTTTATATTGAAGATTAATTACCATCTTTTTACAAGAGGCTTAATACAAAGAGATACAAAATAAAAAGTGTTTTCTGGGTTTTATATCCCTGCAAATTTTCCAGTATAACATGGATTTTATAACGTGTAATTGAATCTTTGTACTATATAATTCTTATATATATATATGTGTGTGTGTGTGTGTGTGTGTGTATATATGTATATATGTAAAAAATTATTTGAGTTGCCAGAAATAGAGCAATAAAGCCTTCAGAGGTAAGCACTGAAATCATAAAAGGTATTTATTTTAGGTGGAGTTTAGTTCTAAATTCTGTGATTCTGTGAACGGATGACATTTCTCTCTTTCTGTCTTCCTGTGCTGATATTGATTTCTTAAACTTGAACATCAAGATGTCCCAGTGGCAGCCCTGGCATTTTGACTTTTTCTCTGGCCCTCTCAGTGGGTCAGGTTTCTTTGGAGAAGACTAGGGGAGCAAGCGCAGTGGTTTTAACTGTGCAGGCAGTGTCCCGTGTCTCCCCCATTTGTAGAAGACTTGTTTTAGAGATTCAGTAGGTAAGTTTCCCCGAATGTTTGTAACCTCTGCTTTGTATAAATGTCCATTCTCTCTTTAACCTTTTTGCTTGTGAATAACGTGAGGAGGAAGACCTCTCTCGATAGCGCAGTGTCTTTAATAACTCAGGGGAGTTTGTCTTGAGCGCATCTTGGTGCTTCTCAGTTGTAGGTGAGGCGTGTGGGGTGGTGTGATTAGGTTGAGGTAGGAGTAGCAGAAGCAGAGGTGTAGAAAACTCCTGTTATAGAAAACAGTCAAGATGGGATTCCCAAATCTGGAGGATTTCCTGTGTCTAACTATAGCATCATGATGATTTATTGAAAGTTATTAAAATGTCCTTGGATTTGCAAGATTTCTTTTCTGTTGTGAAGTCCATATTCATTTGTTGAATAAAATATTATGACAGTACAATATATAGGTGTTTATGTTTTTAATTAGTCTTTAACTTCTTCCTGTTTTGAAACTTCTGCATTGTTTTACCTACTATTTTTTTCTGTTTTTACTATCTGAAGAGTCAAATAGTAAATATTTTTGGCTTTGTATTGTTTCTGTTACAACTACCTGATTTTGCAGTTGTGGCATGAAAGTAGCAATAGAATATGTAAATGAGTGTGTGTGGCTGTGCTCCAGTAAAACTTTATTTACAAGAACAGGTGGTGAGTTCAGTTTGGCCCATGGACCACTGATATCTGGTCCTGACCTAGACCTTGCTGCCTCCTCATCCTCGTGGCAGACACACGAGGGGTTTGATGCGAGATTGTGTTAAGACAGTTGTCTCTGCAAACATGAACTGTTGCCATTAATTGCTTTTAAATATAGTTTAGTGTGTGATAGTTGGTAAACTGATGATAACATGAATCCGTTTTATAATAAAATTTTATTATACTAAGAAAATAATTGGCTAACCATATTGTAATATGAAAATGTTGTTCCATTGTGAAACGTTGCTTCTAGAGGGTGAAGTCGTAAAAACTGGATAATAAAGCTCCTCTCTCTAGCTGTCCCTCCAAAACTCCAAACCTGTCTCCTTTTACATTGTAACAGCTAATTTAAAATTGTAGTCAACACACTTGTGATGTTCGATTGCAGATGTGGATGCCACTTGCAGCGACTTCAATTTTGGAACGGCTTTGCACATCGCTGCACACAACCTGTGTGCCGGGACCGTGAAGTGCTTGTTGGAGCTGGGAGCAAATCCCGCATTTAGGGTAAGAGGTTAAATGTAAAGAATGAGAACATCTAACATTATCTCCCAGTAAAGAGTTGACTCTAGATGTTGTCGTTGAGCTCTTATGTAAGAAGGTAAATTGTAGTTTTGTGTCCCATATGAAGAGGTATGGTGATACGGTGTATCACAAATAAATTTAGGGCATGGCAGTGAATTTCAGCCCCCTTATATGGATAAGCTCTACAAAGCTTACTTTCATTCAGCAAAATAAAATGCTCCTTAAAGTGTTGTCGTCTTTTAGTTTAAGGATCTTTCACAGGCTCTTGACAGATTTATAAAAGTTAACTGTCAAATACAAATGCATATATTAAAGTACTGTTTCTGTGTTAAATTATATTTTAAATTCTTTGGGAAAAATTCTTATTTCAGACAGTTTTTAAAATGCACATTGAAGAATGGAGTAAACATTTAAAAGTCAAACTAAAGGAAAAAATGTGTTGTTTCATGTAATGTTACTGATTTATAAAATCATTAAATATTTTGGTATTTTATTGTCTTCACAAAAGGGGCTCTCAGTGTTCTTTTCCCTTATATGAATGTCAGTGACTTGCTCTAACAGAGATTCTTTAATTAATTTATTTAAATTATATTTTATTGATTATCTTACTACAGTTCCAATTTTTCCCCTTTGTGCCCCTCCCCCCAGCATCCCCCACTCCCTCAGGAAAGCCCTGCACCACTGTTCAAGTCCATGGGTCATGTGTATAAGTTCTTTGGCTATTCCATTTCCTATACTGTACTTTACATCCCCACGGCTATTCTATAACTAGCTATTTGTACTTCTTAATCCCCTCACCTCTTCACTCATTCCCCCCAACACCCTTCCCATCTGGCAGCCATAAAAACATTCTCTGTGTCCCTGATTCTGTCTCTGTTCTTCAGGTTTGCTGAGTTTGTTTCTTAGATTCAATTGTTGATAGATATATATTTATTGCTGTTTTATTGTGTATAGTTTAGATGTTCTTCTTTTTCTCAAATAAGTCCCTTTAACATTTCATATAATCATGGTTTGGTGATGATGAACTCCTTTAGTTTTTTCTTGTCTAGGAAGCTCTTTATCTGCCCTTTGATCCTAAATAATAGCTTTGTTTGGGTAGAGCACTCTTAGCTGTAGGTCCTACTTTTCATGACTTTGAATTTTTCTTGCCAATCCCGTCTAGCCTGCAAAGTTTCTTTAGAGAGATCAGGTGACAATATTATTGGAACTCCCCTGTGGGTAACTAACAGCTTTTCTCTTGCTGCTTTTAAGATTCTCTCTTTATCTTTAACCTTTGGCATTTTAATTATGATGGGCCTTGGAATGAGCCTCTTCATATCCATCTTGCTTGGGATTCTCTGTGTTTCCTGGACTTGCATGTCTATTTCCTTCAACAAATTAAGGAAGTTTTCTTTCATTATTTTTAAAAGTAGATTTCCAATTTCTTGCTCTTTCCTCTTCCTTCTGGAGAAGAGAAAGAATATATGTTGAATCTCTTGAAGTCACCCCACAGGCTGCTTACACTATCCTCATTTATTTTTTTTTTGGATTCTTTTTTCTTCTTGTTCTGACTGGTTATTTTTTGCTTCCTTATGTTCCAAGTCATTGATTTGGTTGTTGACTTCCTCCACTCTACTGTTGTCTCCCTGTAAATTCTCCTTTCTTTCAATGAGTGTACCCTTCATTTCTGACTGGACCTTTTTTATGCTGTGGAGGTCCTCACTAAGTTCTTTGAGCATCCTTATAACCAGTGTTTTGAACTCTGTATCTGATAGATTGCTTATCTCCATTTTGTTTCATTCTTTTTCTGGAGTTTTGATCTGTTCTTTCATTTGGGCCATGTTCCTTTGTCTCCTCATTTTGGCAGCCTCCCCTGACAGGAACTTACTTGGTTCTGTCCCTGCCCTTGAAGGGTCAGGGATGGGGAATGTTTGAAAAGGTTCCTCTCTTCCTCCCCGGTTTTCTTTTTCCACCACCTCCCCACTTCTTTGCCACTTTTCTTTCTGTTTCACTCCATCAGTTAGTTCATTAACCCCTCCCTCCCTTCTTTCCTCTCTTTCTTCCCTATCGTTTATTGGGCAGTGGGAGAAAACAACAATAAACAGAGTACCTTCTGTTTGAAGACAAACAGAATGCACTCTAGTGTGGACGGTGGACAAGTAAGCAGTCAGTTTTGCTGCAGTGTGTTGTCTAGTTTTAGAGCGGTAGGTGGGGTGCACACAGAGTGCTGCATAGGAGGAGTGTCTATCCAAAGCTTCCTGGCGATGCTGAGCGCCCAAACATAGTTAAGAGTTAACTGAGTACATGCAGGAGGAGCTGAGGAAAGCATTTGAGGCAGAGGCAGCAGCATGAGCGCCGACCAGGAGGCGATGACTCAGGTTGGCTGGAAGGGAGGGTCATCCCTGTTTGCTTTTGCTGGTGTTGGCAGTGGCAAGAGTGGCAGCAGGGGTCAGACTGGTGGGGTCAGACTGGACCTTGGCTCAGTTTCCTCTGTACATGAGTTCTGGCTGGGAAAGAATTCAGAGCCCAGACTCAGACTATGAGACTTGTTTCTTTAGAAAGTCTCAGAGGTAGGGGTGGTAGAAGGAATGGGCTCAGGGAGTAAGTTGCAGAGGATAAAGAAGGGCCCTTGGATTTTAGGAGAGAGAAGGGAAAAGGTTGCAAGCCTGGGGGGGAGAGAAGAGGGGCTGGGCATTGTGCTCCTGGGTCCTCAGGCCTAAGGAAGGGCTTTAAAGCGGAAGGTGGGGGGGTGAGGATTTTAGGAGTGGTCCCAGGAGAGGGATCTCCATAGAGTATTTTCAACAGTTTTCCCTGTGTGCCCTTTCAGGGTCATGGTCTCCACTGATTGGTCAGTGCCAGGGCAGGGGGCCGTAAGTCAGTGTGGCTGGTCGTGGCATTGCCTGCTGGTTTTGATGCTTTTCTGGGCCTGAAGCTAAAACACAACTGAGGCCCAGACGCATTTGTCCTGAGGGCTTAATGCTTAAGGGCTGTTCTCCAGGCCCCCTTCTTCACTCCCCATTCCTCTAAGGGGGTCTCACCCACAGAGCTAGCGACATGTCAGCTCGGGAAAGGCCAGGGGAGGGTGGGGGCCAACAGCACGACCACTGAGTGGAAGGTCAGGGGGTCTAAACCACAAGGCCAGCGACATCCAGGGGAGGGAAGGTCACCCTGGGGGCGAGGTCCTTGTTCTTCCTGGTGCTTGGCCCCGGGGCTTCCCGCCCTGGTGACCTTTGCGGCCCGGCCCTCCGTCCTTGCTCCGACTGCCTGTTGCCCGAGTACAGCTGTTGACAAAAGCTCGTGAGCAGAGGATATTTTGCCTTTAGTAAGATGCAGTGAGCTATGCCATTGAGGTAAATCACCAACTAGGCCAGCAATAATAATAGGTTACCATATTTTGAAGTTTACTACCTGAGGAAAAAACCAGTCAGTATGTGGGCCAGCAGTAGCCCTCAGATCACGCTCTGATAGCCACTGTTTTAGAACAAACAGAATTCTGTGATTAACCATGAATGAGCCTGCTTATGGTAGCACAACAAAACCCACTGTTTTTTTTTTAAGTATTTTTCTTAACAGAAGCTTCAGTTGCTAAATTTTGTAGGAATGAACATAAGTGTGTGACTTACTCTGGAAAGGTGAGGACTTAACAAAAATATGAAGTAAAATATTCATTGTAAATATAGCTTACAACTTGTCAGTACAAGTATTTTTAAGATTTTCCATCTCTTTTTTGATTACGTTTATTGGGGTGACATTGGTTAATAAGAATGTATAGGGGTCAAGTATACATTTCTATGATACATGACCTTCATATTACATTGTGTGCCCACCACCCAAAGTCAGATCTTCTTCTGTCACCATGGACTTGACCCCCTTTACCCTTCATTCCTCCCCCACCCCTTTTTCCTCAGGTAACCACTCAGGTTGTTTGTGTCTATGAGTTTTTTTGTTCATTTGCTTTCAGTTTTATATTTCCTACCTAAATGAAATTATATGCTTCTTAACTTTTTCTGTTTCTTTTTATCAAATACATTAATGCTGTACATAACTTCATTATATTTTATCTTTTTTTCTTGAAATATGGGATTAAAATAGCCCATAACCATCCCAGAAATGTGATAACATTCTTCTTACCATATTTTTACTTAAGGGCCAAACTGACTTGAATTTTATTTTATTATATTTAGTTTTTTTCCTTACCTGAGAACATGCTTATTGATTTTAGAGCTAGGGAAAGGGAGGGAGAGGTGGGGGCGGGGGGGGGGGAGAAACATCAATATGCGAGAGAAATACCAAGAGTTGTCTCTCACACTCTCCCATCCATGGACCTGGCCCATAGCCCTGGCATGTGCCCTGACTGGGAATTGAACCAGTGACCTTTTGGTTAATGGGACGATGCTCCAACCGAGAGCCACAGTAGCCAGAGCTCTGACTCAAGTTTCAAGCCAAAAATTGTACTTTTAAACTTACTGTCACCATATTAATTGTTTGAAGATAATTATTAGTGGAGAAGGAAAGGGAAAAAAGCTTCTCAGCAAAAGACTCTCGATTCACCATGTTAACAGATCACAATGTGGAATCTGTCTCACAAATTGTAAGTTTCCTGGTTAGGGAGCCCAGAGGACGGGCACAGCGTGGAGGACAAGCGTTGGGAGGCTGGCGGGGCCTGGCCCTGGCTTCTGGTGTCCTCTCTGCCAGCAGTCACGGAAAGGACTTCGAACAGGTCACTAACCTCTCGTGGCCTAATGTTCGTCATTGGGAAACTGAATAGGTTAGTAATACTTCACTTGTTTAGTTGGTGACTGTCTCTCCTACTACAGATTGTCCTATGATAAATTCCTAATGGGCAAGGATTTTTAGCTGTTTTATTCACAGACTTCTTCCCGATGTGAGAGCCAAATGAGATAATTTATGTGAAAGGGTTTTCATTGTATAAACACCATGCAAGTGTTAGTGGGCTAGTAACTGACCCCTTCCGTCTCGTTGCAGGGTAGGTCCCAGGACACGGTGTCTTCTTCCTAGGACAGAGCTGCTTTCTTGACTCAGAGCCCCCATCTGAAAAGTGGGGACACTATATGTAGCTTCTCTTCCTGAAATTTGAGTCACTCCCTGAGTGCAGCAAGGGCCGAGGTCACAGAGCTGAGGTGGCAGGGTGGAGCAGTGGCGAGGGTGTCAGGGAGCCACTTGGTCCTGTGACTTCTGTCTCCAAACTTGCTTTCTCTGCACCCGTGCAGCCAGGCATGCTGTGACTCACGGCTTTAGCACTCGCTCCTTCTCGTGTCTGGAATGCCCTTCCCTCCCGGCCAACCTGCCTGCTGCCCGAATGTCCTTGTGCCTCTGCGTCAGTGGGGCCTTGGCAGTGAGGCCTTCCTGGACCACTCTGCATGAATAGCCACCTCTGTCCCCGTGTCCTGTTACCCTCCCCCTCTCTGCCACTTTTTACCATTAATACACCACGTATTTTACTTGTTGGACTGTTGATGGTCTGTTGCTCCCACCAGAATGTGCTGTTTGAGGGCAGGGGTTTTTGTGTTCTTCATGTGGTGTCACCAGCACTTAGAACAGTGTCTGGCATATAGTAGATGTTAAATGTTTAAAAAGGAAACAATTTTATATGACTGTAGAGCTCCAAGTAGGTGTGAAGTGAAACTTTTTCCTTGTTTGCAGAACGACAAAGGAGAGACGCCAGCTGATGTGGTGCCAGACCCAGTGGAAATGCCCTTGGAAATGGCCGATGCCGCGGCCACCGCCAAAGAAATCAAGCAGATGCTGTTAGATGCGGTGCCTCTGTCCTGTGACGTCTCCAAGCCCCTGCTTCTAAATCACAGTGCTGTCACTAGCAAGGCGGTGCTGACGTCAGCTGGCCTGAAGTTGGGGGACCGGGTCATGATCGCAGGACAGAAGGTACAGTAAGTAACTGCGGTGTTGAAAGCTGCGTCCAAGGTCGCTGTGTGTGCAGTCTGTGTGCTGAGGGTGCATTTGGTGTGGGCGGTTTTGAGTCTTTACAAAAAGTTCAGTATGGAGGTGGAGAGATACTTAATGGGAAATGTGAAACAGAAACTCACATTTACCATGAAGTATAGTTTAGGGATATAAACTATTTGAACTTAATACTGAAGACATCTTTATTTGAACGGGAAGTGAGTGGACTAAAGTAGGGCTACTGAGTGAACCGAGGGGCATGGTTGAGCCTGGGGTCTTTCCTTGCGAAACACCACAGAGGAGCTGTTTCTCCCCCAGCGACGTCCCAGGGATGAGCAAAGGGGGCCTCGCCATTCATGGGCCTCCGGCTTTGAGATCCTACAGACAGTGAAGTCTTCGATATAATTTTAATCTGATAATGAAAATGTCCGTGGAGCAGAGGACCCCAGCCCTGGCCACCCCGACGAAGTCGCTCCAAAGCCTGTTTCCTTACGACGTTCACTTGTTTGCCATTCTCGTTTTTTTTTGGATCCCTCCTATGGGACAGGTGTTCTGTTTTGTTTCGAATTTGGGGGTTATGGAGAATGGAACAGGAAATTCTTGCTTGGAAATTGAAGTTTCTAATGTAGTTACATCTAAATATTTGGGTAGGTTCATTTCTCAGAGGGAGGTGCGCATTTCTCAGAAAACACGGAAATTTGGAAGTTGGACTGACTGAGAGAATTGCCCTGAAAAGGATGATAAGCTACAAACTATTATGCCGAGAACGACATTGATTAGCCTCCCAAAGAACACATTCATGGGAATTCGTTAGCTTTTCATTCTCCTCTCGGTGGGGCTAAAGTATCTGGAAATTATGAATGCAGAACATTTTTTTTTAACTTAGGATTAATACTCAGCTTCTTCAGTATTCCTGTCCTGTGTCTGAAAATGTACTTTTAGAAGAGTTATTCTGTTGTTTTGTTTTACTTTTTATTTTGGATAATTTAAACAAAAGTAGAAGCATGTAATGAACATGCATATGCCAGTCAACTGGGTTTAACTTTATCGTCTTTTCCCCATCTCGTTATATTTGTATTTTCTCTCATTCTGTTTCTGGGCTTTTCATTCTCTGAGGAGTGTCTTTCAAAGAACACAAACTTTAAATTTTGAGGAAGTGTCAACTTTTTCTTCCATGGATTATGTGTTTAGTATACCTAAAAATATTACTATGTTTTCTTAGGAGTTTATAATGTTAGGTTTTGCATTTAGTTTTAGATTTAATTTTGAGTTAGTTTTATAGAAAGTACTGGGTGTGGATAGAGCCCTCCCTCCGTCTGTCCCTCTCACCCTCTCTTTCTCCTGTTCCTTCCTTTCCTCCATCCACTTGTTCCAACGCCATTTTTTTTGTTTGTTTTTGAGACACTGGGCACCCAGAGACAGCCCTTTGTGTTTGCTCCGGCTTCGGTCAATCTTACCACTATCCCTCATTCCCCAAACAGCACCGTTTTTGAAAAGACCGTTCTCTCTCTTGAATTTGCCTTTACTTCCGACTCAGTTGACCCTACGCGAGTGGGCACACGTCTGGGTTCTGTTTTGGTCCGTGGAGCTGATGGTTACCCTTCCCCAGAGCACCTCTGTCAGGATGGCTGTGGCTTTTTATAGTGATTCTTGCCACCAGGTATTTTCAGACTTTCAATTTTTTTCTTTTTCCTTTTAGTTCCTTTGCTTTTCCATCGACATTTTAGAATCAATTATACATTTCTATTTAAAAAAAACCCGCTGTGATTTCGAATGGAGTTGTATTAAATACAGATCAAGTTTTGGAGAATTGACATCTTAAAAATGTTGTCTTTCAACCACAAATACACTGTGTTTCTCTAACAGGCCTTTGGTTCATGTCATCAGTTTTGTAGTTTTAACCACATAGATGCTGCACACTTTGTTAGATCCTTTACACCGAAGCATTTTGTGATCTTTGGTGCTTCGTAAACGGTGGTGGTTCTGAGATTTCATTTTCCTGTTGGTCATTGTGAGCATATAGAAACACAACTCATTTTCATTTATTGACTGTGTATCCTTTAACGTTGCTCCATTTATTAGTTCTACTGGTTTTTTGTGGATTCGAGATCGCCTCTGTGAGCAATCGCACTGTCCTTTAACGGAGGCTGTCTTACTTCTTTCCCATCCGTGTACCTTTAATCTTTCTCGCCTACTTCATTGCCCAGGGTGAATAGAAATGGCAAGCATCTTTGCCCTGTTCCAAGTCTTATGGGGAAAGCACACAGCCTTTCATTATCAAGAATAATAATTGTTAGCTGTAGATTTTGTATAGATCTGCCTTTTATTAAGTTGAGGACATTGCCATCTACTCCTAGTTTGCTGAGTATTTTTTTAAAAAGAATATTATCATGGAAGAAAGTTGAAATTTGCTACATGCTGTTTTTTTTTTGCATATGTCAAGAGAACAAGGTTTTCCTTCACCCTTTAGTGTGTGGATATGATGAATTACGTTCATACTGAAATGAGGAACTAGCCTTCCGTTCTCATGATAAGTAAGCCTCACTCAGTCGTGATGTATTGTCCTGTCTGTGTGTTGCTGGCATCAGTTGGCCACTGTTCTGCTGAGGGTTCTTGTGTCTGTTTCTGAGGAATTCTGGCCTACGGTTTTCTTGCAATGTCTTTGACCAGTTTTGGTGTCAAAATAATGCTGGCTTCATAAAATGAGTTGGGAATTGTTTCCTCTATTTTTATATCCTAGAAGAGTTTATATAGAACTGATACTATTTTTTCCTTAAATTCTTCAGTAGAATGCACCAGTGGGTCCTCTTGTTTCTGGAATTTCTTTAAAAAAGATTTTTAACCACAAATCAGTACAGGTGTGAGCTCTGACAGTTTGTATCTTTTAGGAACTAGAACATCTCACCTCATTTGCCAAATTTATAGGCATAGAATTACTCACAGTATTTTCTTACTGTTCTTTAAACGACTTAGGAAATGTGGTAATGATATCTCTCTTTCACTTGAGATGTTTATAATTTGTGTTTTGTTAGCCACCCCCCCGAAAGTCTAATCTTACTTATTCTTCCAGAGAACCAGCTTTTGGTTTCATTGATTTTTCTCTGTTGTTTTTGTGTTCTTAATTATTTGCCTGTATTATTTCTTCCCTTTTGCGTGCTTTTGGTCTTCACTTCGTAGTTTCTTAAGATGGAAGTTCGTGTCAGTGACTTGAGGCCTTTCCCACTACAAACATTCTAATGCTACACATCCTCCTCTTGGCGCTGCTGTTGCTGCATCCCGTATGTTTTGACGTGTTGTGAAGTCGTTTTCATTCAGTTCAGAATATTTTCTAATTTCCCTGTGATGTGATTTTCTCTTTTACCATGGGTAATTTAGAAGTATAGTGTTTAATTTCCAAATATTTGAAAATTTTGCATGTATCTTTCTGTTAGTGATTTCTGGTCTAAGAACATGTTTTGTATGATTTCTGTTCTTTTACATTTGTGTGCTGCTGTTTTGGGTAGAAGTTTTTATACATGTTAGTTACATCGAGTTTGCTTAGTTTTGTGGGTTTTTTTAAATTCTTACTGATTTGCTGCCTACTTGGCCTGTTGATTACTGAGAGGTGTGTTTTAGTCTCCAACTGTAATTGGGGGTTTGTCTCTTTTTTCAGTTCAGTCAATTTTTACTGGGTTTTAAAGCTCAGTTGTTAGGTGCGTACAGATTTACATCTCTGAGCTCTTCTTGGTGAATTGATTCATTTATTATTATTTAATGTCTCTTTTTATCCCCAGTAATTTCCTTGTTCCGAAGTTTACTTCGAGAGACTGTGGTTTTGCTTTTTAAACTTCTGTGATAAAGCTGCAAGAGTAGGACGTGTAGAACTACTAGCAATACTCAAGTTATTCTAATTTATGTTTTCTTTAGGTTGGAACATTAAGATTTTGTGGAACAACGGAATTTGCGAGTGGGCGGTGGGCCGGCATTGAGTTGGATGAACCAGAAGGAAAAAATGACGGCAGTGTCGGGAAAGTCCAGTACTTCAAATGTGCCCCCAAATATGGTAAGGGAGAGTCTCTCTAACCTAATGACAGTTAAGTTAAACTATCAAATTTTTATTCTTTTATTGTTTTAAAATAAAGCCCCTCCCCCTGTCCCTTAGGTGATAAATGAAGGGCTGCGTTTTCCTTGCTGTGAGCGGTGTAGCGGGTGAGAGACGGCGTCCCCCCAGGAGTGCGCCAACTCTCTAGACCACCCCGAAACCCTGCAGTGGTCCTATCGACTGAGCAAAGGGCTCTGTGGCCAAGGACACAGAGCTGGGATGGCCCTCTTTCTGACCAGTGATTGTTTAATTAAATTCATGATCTTTCTCTCTCTCTCTCTCTCTCTCATACACACCTTGGTGCATTGATGTCACTTCATTTGTCACATACTATGTTGTGAGTAGTTTTCCTTGCCACAAAGTGTTCTTCTAGAACATTCAGTGTGCCCTCTCCCAGCATCATGGGCAGGCAGCGCGGTGTCTTGCTGAACAGCGTGGGCTCTGCAGTCTGAGAGCTCGGGCAAGAGCCCGCTTCTCTGCCTACCAGGCACGTGGCCTTTTCCTTTCCCTGTGCCTCAGTTTATCTTCTATAAAATGGGGATAGCAACACCCTAAGAGCTCATGTGAGGATTAAATTGTGTTGATATATAAAGCAGCTAGAATAGTGCTTGATTCCCTGTAAGCACTCAAAAAATGTTAGCTATTTGCCAGCTGTTATAAGTTTATCAAAATGACCAGTTTCCTTTTGTCATACACTTAAGATGGAGCCTCATTTCTTTGGCCAATTATTATTTTTTTGTGCTTAAAAATCCTCATTGTATAAGATTTGAAGAACAAATAAAGGAGAAGGAAGAAAAAATTAGCTGTATATTTATTCTGTTCAACTGTTTTATTACAAAATTTGGATTATATATAGCTATACATTCTGCACTTTTACTTGACTGCCAATATAATTTCCTCAAATCTTTAAATATTGTGATTTTTATGTCTCAATTTCCTTTGATTTTTCTGGATTGATGGGTGAAAATTTCTGTGTTTGAACTCATATTTCTCTGATTGTGGTGAAATAAAACACTTAAATATTTTACTGTAGTACCTGTATTTTTTGTGTTATCTTGGCAATTGCCAAGAAATGTTCATATTATTTGTCTATTAAAAAGTTGAAATGTTAGTGTTTTTAAACTGGTAAGAGTTTTTAAAAATACAAGTACATATTTAGGATATTAAGCCCTTATATTTATTACAGATATTTTGTTCAGCTTGTCATTTGCCTTTGAATGTCACTTGTAATGGTTTATATAGTTAAAAGACTTTTCCTTTAAAATTTCTTACATTGCTTTTAAGTTTAGATAGATCTTCCTAATCCAATGATTAGTTGTAAGTTATATATTTTATTCTTTTAAATGTTTTACCTTTCTTATCTACATTACTTAACCCACTGGAATTTATTTGGCTTGTTGGGAGAGATTAAGAATTTAATTTTAATTTTCCTCTGTTAGCTAATTTTGGCACCTGTCAGGCAGACTAAAGGCGAGATCAGAATCGTTAGCAACACACGTGGCAAATGTAATTTGGACGCCTGGGGAATGCTGACATTGCCACCGCGTGTGTGGGCTCCCCAAATCTCGTGACCCGCAGGGGAGGCAGGTTGGATTAGGGCAAAGCTGGCCACCCCAGGAGCCCAGCCTCTGCCTTCCCTTAAAGCCTACAGGCAAGTTGGGAGGCAAGGATCACGTGCTGGGCTACAGGGAGAAATGGGAGTGGTCTTCCTGCTGAGCCAGCTTGGTCTTCTAAGCCAGATCAATGCCAAAGTACATGAGTTCTGGGGGAAGAGAGCCAGGGGCCGGAATGGCGAGAAATTCCTCTGATTCAACAAAAGCCGAAGAGTTGGTCTCTTCTCAGCAGCAGTTTTTTCTGTCTTTCCAAATCTGTCATTTCCCCCCCAACTTCCATTTTCTTTATTATACATTCTTATAAAGGCTGATAAAGTCTGTTTCAGGCTTGTTTTATTCCATTGATCTGTCAATTCTAGCACATACTGCATTTTTCCAAGTTGCAGAAATTGTATAATAACTTCTAAGACTTGGTTTTGCAGAAATTGTATAATAACTTCTAAGACTTGGTTTTGCAGAGCAGTTCCAGGTTCACAGTAGAGCGAGGGGGAGGTTCGGAGGCTCCTGTACACCCCTGTGCCTCCCCACCAGGGCCTTCCCTGTCCCTGTCGCTCGAGTCCCTTTGCTAAGCGGTGCGTTCTTTGCAATGATGAACTGACCTCGACACGTCGTGATCCCTAAGTGTGTAGTTTCCCGTGGGGCTCACTCTTTGTGTTGTGCATTCTGTGGGTCTGGGCAAATGTGTAATGACATGTGTCCCCCAGCTCAGCACAGTGTTACACAGAGTGCTTCCGCTGCCCCGAAAAACCCTCTGTGCTTTGCCTGTTGATCTCTTCCCCGCTTGGTCCCTGGCAGCTGCCGAGCTTCTCACCATTTCGGTAGTTTTGCCTTTTCCGGAGGGTCGTGTCACTGGAATCTTGCGGCATGCAGGAAGCCTTTTCACGTTGGCTTCTTTCACTCAGGAATACGCCTTTACATTTCCTCCACGTCTTCTCCTGGCTTTGTAGCTCAGGTCTTTTTCCTGCTGAGTGACATTCCGTTGTCTGTGTGCGCCCCAGGCTAGCTTCCCTCCCACCTGCTGAGGTGTCTCGTGGTCATTTCTAAGTCTGGGCAGTGATGAACATTTTATCATAAATTCTGATATTGGTGATACTGCTTTATGTTGTTTAATAAGGCGAACACATGTACCCGGTTTAATAGGTCAACTTGTTATGCTAAGGTTCGTTGTTGTAAAGACGACAGCTGACCCCTTCGTGGCCTGCCCTTCCCCGACCCTGAGGGCTGCTCTTCAGGCACAAGAACTCTTCAGCTTCCTGAGCTGTACCTTCCGATGGTCACATTTTAGATAATATATGAAGCTTTCCCGATTCTCCCAATTTCAGACATTTCCCGTCTTTTGACTTGTGCTGTGAAGAGAAAGACTTGGTGCTTGTGCTATCCTAAGTCAGTTTCTTTTGCTTGTTTGTTTCCTTTTTTGGTTTTGATGGATCACATTCTTCAGTATCTTTCTGACAAAGGACTGACTTGGGAGGTAAATTTCTGAGATCTTTTATACTAAAACAATGTTTATTTTCTACCCTCACACTTCATATCATAGTTTAGTAAGGTAAGGAATGTTAGGTTGGAATTCATATTCTCTCGGTGTTTTTGGAGGTGGTACTTTATTGTCTAATGTGGTTCGGCGCACTTTTCCTGTGCAGGGCCAGACAGTATGTATTTTAGGCTTCGTGGGGCACCGTCTCTTGTTGCAGCTACACAGCTCTCCTGTTGCAGGGAAGCAGCAGCCAGCAGACAGCATGTGTGAGTGGGTGGGCGGGGCAGCCTCCAGCACAGCTGCCCAGAAATGGGCCTGGGCGGGTTCTCGCTGTCCCCTCCCTGTGTTTTGCCAACTTGAGCTTCCAGTGTTGCTGTTTAGAAGTTTCAGAGTTTTTCTGTCCCCTGTTTTTGGCTTTCCCCCCTCTCTTTGGAAGCTTCTTTGGATGCTTTTAGAATTTTTTCTCCTTTTTGTAATTTTCTTTTTTCTTTAGAGTTCATACCACTTTTACTTCTTACTAATATTTTAGTGGAGTTCGGGAGGGACTGTAGTTAAACAAATGGGCTGTTTCTCTGGAAATGTATTACCCTTCTTTTAAAAAATAGCTCTTCTTTATATGTTTATTTTTCTTAGGCCTTACAATTTTATGTCAAGATGTGAAAAAAAACACTTGCATTGGCCCTTTTAATTGAAATGCTTTTAATTGCTTAACACTAAAATTGTATCTTCTCCCTTAGGTATTTTTGCACCTCTTTCAAAGATAAGTAAAGCAAAGGATCGAAGGAAGAATCTAGTCCACACTCCTTCCACCAAAGCGCTGCCTATCACCAGGTCCCAGAAAACTGATGCAGCTCATGTAACGCCAAAAGTAAATACTGGTAGGTCGAACTGGAAAGTTAGATAGCTTCTTCAGCATTTTAGTTTTATTTGTGGAATGCCTTATTTCTTACCTCTAAATTCCTTCGCATCTTTTTTTGCCACCTCACTGTGAAACCAGACCCTCATAGAACCTGCATCTTAACATGTTTCTAGACCTCGGTCATGGTTTATGATTTTGATTCCTGACAAGTGCATTTCAGAGCACTTGTCAGGAGGTGCTGTTCCTTTTCTCTCCTGCCACCCCCGCACCTCCCTCACCCCCTAATCCGGCCTCACAGCGAGATCGTATACCTCTAATACATCTCTGTACAACTAGCTTTATGTTTATCACCTATTCAAGAATTTAATGACTGTTCTTAAGATCCGAAAACATTCCAGCTCTTGCAACTGGCAGTCAGGGCTCTTCCCCTGTTTGGTGGAGCCTTCCCGCTTCTGAGGCTGCGAGGTGGTCCCTGCAGCCCCCTGACTTCTGTGGGCGCTGTTCTCCCTCTTCCCTGAATTGCGCTCCGTCTTGTGCGAGTTCCCGAGCGTGGGCACGTGACTTCTGCCTCTCGAGGTCCTAGCCATTCGTCCCCTTCTTTTTCAGATCCTGTTTTTCCTTGAAAACTTCCCCGATGACCTCAGATCACTTTGATCTCTTCATCTCCTAAGTTCACCCCCACTTTTATCCGTACCCCCTGATTGTCTGTTGTCATCTTGGGTTTTGTCCTCTGACTCTTCCACCTGGGCTAACCTTTCACTCTCTCACTAAAACTTTAAACTTCAGGTGGACAGTGAGAGTGTTTTGTATTTGGTGTGCACTGCAGCACGTAGCACAGAATAGGAGCGTGGTGCGTACTCGTTAACTCCTTAACTAACACTTGATGCAGACAGGCTTTCTTCTGTGGTTAAAGGATTTTGTCCAGCAATGTGGCTGGCCTTTCCGATCTGTTCCATCAGGTTGTTTGGATATCCCTGTGCCGATACTGCCCTTTCTAAATACCGTAGTTTTTGAAAAAACGCCTCTTGATGTCCAGGAGAGGAAAGGCTCCCAACCTGAACAGTGTCTGATCTATCAGTATTTGGGCCCTTATCAGTCACACTTCCGTATAAAGTTTAGGATAAGCCATTAAGTTTCTTTTAAAATATGTGCATTAAAGTTTTATTGAGTATTGCATTTACACTTTAAATCAGGGTAGGAAGAACTGAAAGTTTTATAATATTTAGCCTTTTAATTATGAGCTTGGGATATCTAGATAGTTAGGTCTTTCAAAAATACATGAACAAGTTTTTATAGTTTTCTCTATAAATTATAATTAGGTACCTGTTTATATAATTATGTACCTGTTCGGTTACATCTGTTCCCAGGTACTTCACACGTTTTGAAGCTATTGTAGATGGAACCCTTTAAGCCGAAACCCCGAAGTTCGTAACAGGCGGGGAAAGAAAGCTCACCCAGAAGCCTCCTGTTCCTGGTCCGCGGAGCGGGAAGGGGCCCCTACTGGACAGAAAGTGGGGAAGTCCCTTGCTTGCTCTGAGGGTTTTCTCCCCCGTTGGCTCTTCCCCATCCCAGCCCCTAGGCAGCCCTGCCTGGTGCAGCGGCAGCAGTGGGCAGACAGGCCCCCACCTCAAAGGAGGAGATCCTTGGCCTCTCACCAGAGCAACTCTGCTCCCAAGAACACGCCTGGAATCTGCACTAGATTTTCTTCTTTTTTCCCACTGCCTGGGCTCGAGGCAGAGTGGGTCTGAGGAGGCTAGAGGACAGAGCAGGGAAATTAAAGCCTGCACACTGTACCTGGAATACCAGGAGGCGGGGGCGCCCCCTGGGGGCAGGAACGTGTAGGGGAGACCATGGACGGGAGGGGGCTCGAGAAAGTGGCCTTGACATGTTGGCTGTGCAGTCTTGGGCTTCCCTCCCAAGTTGGGTGTGCATGGGTGTGCCCGGGTCCCAGACTGGTGCTGGGCGGTACGACACATGAGGCGGGTCCCCAAAAGGCTTTGGTGACCGAGCTGACAGGGGAACCACAGTCACAGAAGGTGGGTCCGAACTTTCAGCCCGAACCTAACTGGGTCAGCTGCCTGCTATCACAACACAGAACAAAACAACGTTCTCCACAGCATTTAAACAAGACCCGGCGTCCTACACAGTGATATTCATAATCCATAGAATGTGGTCTGAAATCGCTCAAATGGGAAGAGCCGGGAAAATCTCAACATTTCTCCAGGAAAAAGGCAATCAAAGGATGCCAGTCCTGAGATGATACAGATTTTAGCAGATAAAGTGGAAAGAAAGTGTCAGCTGAGGAATGGAGATACAAAGGAAGCAAATGACGTGTGTGTGCACATGCACACGCGTGCACACACAGATGCGTGTAAAATGGGTGGTGTGAGATTGTGGACTGTGTCACTGTCAGCATCCTGGGTACGATACTGTACTATTGTTTTGTAAAATGCTGCCATGTGGGAGACTAGGCGAAGTGTGCAAGGGGTCTTCCTGTGTTGTTTTTACAACTGCCTATGAGTCTCCAGTTTATCCCAACAAAAGATTCAGATATGAAGAAAGGACCAAATGGATATTCTAGGACTGAAAAGTATAATGAAAATAGGAAATTTACTCTACGGGCTGCCTTCCCTTACCCACCTGTCCATTCAGTGCCTGCGGTCGCAGTTCTGGCCCTCGTTCCTGGCCAGTGTAATAACTAACATCCAGCTGGTCTCTGCTTCCAGTCTCTCCTCCTCTAGTTCCTTCCCAGCTTTGCTGCCAGGGTCACGCCATTCACCTGCAGCTGTTCACGCCAGTCCCCCATCAGGCTCACTCCTCACTGAAGAGTTCCAGCCCTTCAGCCAGCACTGTCCCTTCTGAGGTCTGACTGTGACCTAACCTGCCCAGCTTACTTCTCTGCCATCCCCAGAGTACTCTGTACTCCAGCCAAGCTCCTCATCCTTCTCTGACCCCGTCCTTAAGATTTTTTTCTTTTTTGTCTGTCCAGCGTGCCTACCCCCAGTTCTTCCTGACAATATCTCCAGTATTCTCTGGAAGAAATCTGACCTATCCCTCAAGACCCATCTCGAATTGTGATCTTGTTGAGGCATTAATTTATTGGTGTGGCCACAATTATTGTCTCCTCCTTCTATGCTAGTGTTGTATAAAAAATGTCCTCCTATTTTAGTTATTCATCTCTATGTCTTTCTACCTGACCACATCGAACAGGTTCTCCTTGAGGGTTAAGACCACGTCTTGTTCATGCCTGTAATGCTGACGTGCCAAGCATGGTCCTTTACCCAGCATGCTTTGCGAGTGGAATAGAAATAAATGATTGGTGGAATTTAAGACTGGTGTAGTCCACTAGGTTTATTATTTACATAATTTGCTTCTGTAGAATTGATACAGGAGTCTTAATAAGGTAGAGTGTTAGTCATGAGCTTTACTTTTTTAAGTGAGTTTTTTGGCGGGAGTTGGGTGTTCTGAGAGTGGAGTAGTGATTTTCAAAATACCGGTGGCAAAGAATAGGATTTCTTACTCTCTGACTTACTTAAATGAGTACTGGTTATAATTACTTGTAAAAATTTTTTACCCCAAATCCCCTATCTAAATAGAGAATCTTCTATGATGAGTCTGTGTGCATACACCAGTGAAATACTGCAAACTTCACAAGTCCTGGCGAGTGTATCTCAGCTGCGCTAGGTTCGCTTTACCTGCTAGCGTTGTGCCAACGCACTAATGAGGTCATTACATAGCAAACAAGTAGCTCGGCTGCAAATGCTTTACATTACTTAGAATTCCTTAATGGAGTGTTACATGGGTTTGAAAGGTACTTCAGCGACATTTGGGGACATCGTGGTTTTCGGGCGGGCCAGGAATGTGTCCTCTTCCCTTCCAATAATGAATGGTCGGTCCTGCTGTCTGGGAACTTAGGGTCCAGCATGTTTTCAGAATGGATGAGATTTCGGTAATGAGGGATGTCTGTACTCGAAAGGGAAAGCACGTGTTTACGTTGGACTTTGAGCAGAACGCGCTCTTGCTGAAAGTGTCCTGCTTCTGTGCCGCAGGACTGATGCCGCCAAAGAGGGACAGTGCTTCCGAACCGGCGCTAGCGCCGCCTGCTGGAGAGGAGCCGAAAGCTGTAGCAGAGAAAGATGGTAATGTTCTCAAAGTTAAGTTTCACGACGGAACTTGAAGATAACATAGTGATATAGCGTGTAAGGGGGCTAAGTTCTAAAGTTTTTTCAGGGAAAGATTATTACAGTAAAAATGTATCCTTGAAAAATCCCCCTAGCAGCTCATCCTAAAGTATGTATGCATTTTTATATAAAATCCTGTACTGGGATTCTTGTGTACACTTCAGTTAGAGAACTGTTGGACTATATTAAGAGAGTAAAAGGAAGTCACTTAGTGTAGATGGCTTAATAAAATATTTAAAGTTGCCTTTAGCTATCAAATCATTGGGTGCGTAGAACATAAAGTTCAGAAGTATTCCTGCTTGCCTTCAGGTTAACTCAAATCATGTTAATATTAAACTTTGTTAACTGAAAACATATTAATAGTGTTGTTTGTGTAAATAAAATGAAATTCTACTGTCTCATCTAAAGGAGAGGCAGCAGTGGTGGTTAGAATAGGTCAGTTTAAGTCAATTCCTGTGATAACATTGTCCTAAGATCGTCATTGTACAGTGTGAATCCTAACAGTACAGTTGCTTGGGTTATAAAATCTTTCATTTCAACTGTGTTTGGGTGAAACCAGGCATTTAATTCAATAGGTAATCCACAATTGAAGAAGCTCAGTGGAGAGTTTCAGAAGCATTTACCTGGGGACGCATCTCATTGGCTTCCTTCCTATTTTTGGCCCTTTGCTACATTCTTTTCCATTTCCCGTTTCAGTTCACCTGCCTGGATCCATCAGCAGCTTGTCCTCCGCATCTTCTCTGGAGCACAGACAGGGCAACCCCAAGAAGCCGAATACACGCGGCAGCAGCAAGAAGACCATGAGCAAAAGCCCGTCTGTTTCATCTCGAGCCAGTGCTGGTATCTATGGCTTTTTCAACCAGGCTTTCTTGGTGTTTTTTTTCTCTTGGTTTGTTTGTAAGTAGATTTGCTCTTTTTAAATGTGTAGAAGGAACCCTTTACTTCTGTCAGATTGAACTCCTTGCACCCTTCTCTGTCCCCGCGGCCTCCACCGCCCTCCCCTTCCTGAGCGTACTCCGGGCTTCTCAGGCTTTCTCCTGGGGCCCTGCTCACCTCATTTCCTTGTCTGGCCGACATCTGCTTTCCCCACGTGTCCAAGGCCTCCAGCCCTTTCAGGGTCATCACAGGACTTTATGAGACATCCTCGGATCAGTGGGGATATGTGGCTTATTATCTTCCTTATCTCTTTTTCCAACATAAACCTCGTAATAAGTAACATATTGTATACTTACTATTTTAGGTACTGTTCTAGGCACTTCACATATCTCATTGCATTTCGTTCTCGCAATACACCTGTGGATCAGGCAGGTACTGCCGTCCGCATCCTCGTTTTAGGAGCGAGGAGACTGCGACCTGCTATGGAAACGCTAGTCAGGATGAGGCCTAGGACTTCTCAGTGTCGTACTTTATCCAGACTTTCTTCCTGCCCCTCCCTGGGTTTCTGTGCCCATTCGCTGACACGGTTTCCGTTCATCCCCCTTCATCCGCGTGGCCGACCTGCGCCACACCCTCCCGTGGGGTTCTCCAGGCCGAGCGGCTGTTCCAATCGGTTTACGGCCCCCGGAGAAGCCTCGAGGGCCCGCCTCCTCTCTGCTGCAACCGAACAGCTTTCTGGGCAGCATTTCTGCAGGACTTCTGATGTTAAATAGGGGCGGTTCAGGGTTTGGGTCTCAGTCGAGGTGCGGGGTGAAGTGGGTTTTTTCCTAATAAGGAAATCAGTTTGGGGTAATTGAAGCCGTATAGCAATTTCACTTTCAAATCGCATGCATTCCTGTATGTATCATTCACACTGAGTTCCCGTGAACTACTATAATCGAAGCATTTTACAGCTGGCCAGGGACAGCCCATAGGCCAAATCCACCTACCCCCTGACTTTGTAAATAAAGTTTTATTGGAACGCGCCATGCCCATTCTGTTTATGTCTGCTTTTGTGCTGCCACAGCAGAGTTGAGTGGTTCTGACAGAGACCGCGTGGCCTGCAAAGCCTGAAATATTTATCCTGCCCTTGACAGAAAGCGTGCGCTGCCCTGTCCCCTCTGGGCGAGGGCGGCACCAGACAGCCGGGACGGCGTTGGCAGGCGTAGTCCCCAGCACTCGTGTTCTCAGGGAACCCTTCTCCTTCCCTTTGAGCTGCTCCACCCCACGCGCGAGGAGCAGAAGTGTGTGGAGCGGCGGTTTCCAGCCGGCGCCACAGGGGACCCTTCAGAGGCACTGACCTCTTTTCCCTGAGACCGTCAAGTGAAAAAATGGCACCAGCTGACGCGCCAGTGTATTTTTTGGCATGCCGCAGAATTTTAGTAATTAGTTTGTGTGTGCCACGGGGCGAGAAAGGTTGGAAACTGCCACTGGGATGGTCTGTGACGAAAGGCTTCCTGTATGGAAGTCTCCAACTGGCCAGACTGGCTAGAATGCATAGTGAATTTGTGGCTAATGTGCTTTTTGATTTTTTCCCCCTTTGTTTTTTTCTCCTCTTTTCCCGCTCTGTCCCCTCCCCCCACCAAACAATTGGACAGGGTTGAGTTCCTCAGCAACATCCGTCTCGAACAGCGCCCGCTGCGAAGGAGAGCTTCAGCTGGGAGACCGGGTGCTGGTGGTGGGCCAGAGAGTGGGCACCGTCAGGTTCTTCGGGACGACCAACTTTGCCCCAGGTGACGCCTCCAATGTTCTTTGTTCAGTCTGAATTCTTTACAACGCAAGAGGTTTAAAATGTTATGTGTAACTGCCCTTTCATTTTAGAGAGTTTTTGATCAACATTTGGTAACTGTGGTGCAGACAATGCAAAACGATGATTCAAATGCAGACTGTACTCAGGTTGGCTATTATCCATAAAATTTTCTTGCCGATTGTGTTTTAGATTGCCTGGTGTTAAAATTAGTTGTCGGTCCCCAGTTTTACTCTCACTGATTCCTGAGTGTGTTTAGTACCAGAGACAGCGTTTCAGGGTTAATGTTATTGCGGATAATCTTGAACGTGAGTCGACGAGGCACTAACCGCACACAGCGTTTTTCCGAGTGGGTTGGAGAGAAAGGCAGACACGGGTTCAAAGGAAAATGGCAGAGCTTCTGCTTCCTCTGGGGCCTTAAAAATCCGCTGTGTGTTTGTATATTAACTCCGAGCTGGATTTATATTGTGTTTCCCAAAGTAAAGGTTATTTTTCCTTAAAAATAAAAGGTTATTTCTAGTGACTGATTTCTAGTAGAAGCCAGTCGAGCGAAGCCATGCTCGCATGGTGTGAACAGCCGTGTTGACACACGGTGGCACCCCAGCGCGTAAGGACCGGCTTACTGAGCACATCAGTTTTTTAAGAAGTTCATAGCAGTTCAGGCTGACCTGGCTAATGGCACACGTGGTGACCTGCTTTCAAAGCATTGGTTATGGCCACGCAGTAGGCTCTTTGCTTGTGCATAGTAGGACTGCTTCGACACAGAAGACATGGTCATGCAATTAACGTTTCCAACCCAAACTCCAATGTTTGGAGGCGGGCTCACGTGTCAGGTTTTTAATGTAAGAGGGACGAATACTAAGAACTTCTAGTTTGCCTTCTAGGCATTATATAGACTCTTCAAACTAGTAATTTGAAAGAAACAGTATTTTTGTATTTTGGAATTTATAATTTGCAGTAAGTTTTTCAATACCCGTATCCTTATTGTTTATTTCATACTGATTTAAGAGACTGAATACAATTACTAGTGTATGTTCCTTTCAAATAAAAGAGTGAATGGGTTATTAGGTACTTTGAACTGGCCTTCGGGTGCCCTCAATTCAAGGGTCGTTACCTGACAGGGTGTGTTTGTCCGTTTACCTAATGTTTACAGCACCCAGAGCAACCCCCACTGCTGTAACTCGGGCTCCAGGGAAGGAAATTGTGTGACTTTTCTTCGACTGGACCCTTTGAAGTACTTACAAGCCTGTTTGCAAATCCTTCCTCTTAATGAATCTAAACCTTTTCATCAAGGTTAAAAAGAACATTTCTTTTCATCCTGAGTGGGGGCCCGGGGGGATGGGAAACAAAGAAAGAATCACCATGATGACGATGGTGTGGAGTCGTATTTTCCATACTATTTCCGTCTTTTAATTATTTAAGAACTGTTTGTGGCGTTTCTAATATTGGGAGAGTAAACGCAAAGATCGCGTGTTCATTTATAGATCTCGGTATGGGGCTGCGCCCCCCAGGGACACACACCACACCTGTCGCCCAGGCCGGGCTGCTCCTCGTTCATTAGGCCTTTTAGATGAATGTTGGCCGTAGGACACTTGGCTGCAGCCAGTCCTCACCCGGGCCTGCTTGTGCACTTGAGCTTTCTCCCTCAAAGTGCGGCTCTGCACTCAAGCTTGTAAAATGCCTTTCCCGTTCGTTTTTTGGCTTTTCAAATTTCATCGTTCGAGAGCTGAACGATCAGGGTGATCGTCCCTCATCTCGGTCACTTGTGGAGACACGAAGCCACCTGGACTTGGGGTGCGTGTGGCAGCTCAGCCCGTTCTCGTTCCAGGGTGTTGGTACGGGATCGAGCTGGAGAAGCCCCACGGCAAGAACGACGGCTCGGTCGGAGGCGTGCAGTACTTCAGCTGTTCTCCGAGATACGGGATATTCGCGCCCCCCTCCAGGGTTCAGAGGTGAGCAGAGATGGGGTTCGTGCCTATTCGCAGGAGCGTTCTGTAGTCTGCGTGGTCGATGGTGAGAGGCCCTCATTTTATATGGAAGACGTGCACTGACTGCAGCCCCTGACGTCTTTCGAGGGGTTAACCAGCCACCTCCTTCGGAGAGAAGGCTCCGGGAAAGCTAAATCTGCTTTGCTGAAGATTTGCAATTTTAAAAACCTCCTTTATTCCTCATTTGCAAACCCTATGAGCACGCGCAGGCTATTAGAAATGACGTTTGCAGCTAAGAACAGTGAGAGCAGCAAGCTTAATCTGTCATGCAAACAAAAGTAAAAATGCTCCCTGATTGCTTCAGGCGCCCCATTCATCCTCCTGCAAACCGAATGGAACCAAAATGGCCCTTCCCTCTGATTTCTTTAGTTTTCAAAAATAGATGGGCCGTGGGTCTTTGGGGGGAGTGAAGCTTCAAGGATTTATGTGTGGTGCACCTCCTTGGTATCTCTTCTTAAGATAGCACACTCTTGCTCCGGCTCACTCTGGTTTGAAACATAAGTTGAGCAGAAACTAAGTCATCATGGAATTCCAGGTACCATTTTGTGGCGTGTCCTATGTGCTGGACACGCCACAAAACGGCGTGGCTTGGTCTGCTCTGCAGAGGGGAAGTGGGATGCTGATGTTTAAACAGGAGGTAACGGGTATGGCGTGGCCGTGCTCAGGGGCGCAGGGCTGCAGGCGCAGCCTGGGAGTCCCTGCCACTTTCTTCCAGCCAGTCTGTGTGACGCCCTCCTGCCACCTGGAACAGTTCTTACATCCACTTTCTTTCCTTGTTTTTCACATTGAATAATTACTTACAATGTTTGTATCAACTTGTTTCCATGACGTGCTTGTTATCATTTTATTATTTATGATAGTATAGCATTTAACCTACCATGCTTTGCACTTTATAAAGGGTCTTCAATTAAAGGTTGCTTTATTTGGTCCTAATAAGTATTTGCTCAGGTGAGCTGGGAAATGACAGTGCCTCTCTATTCCACACGTTTAGTGAGCATTTAGTAAGTGGCGGCCTCGGTGCACCCCGCTTTGGATGCACGTCTCGGCAGTCTTCACAGACCCGGGGGGTACTGTCAGCATTCCCATTTGGAAGATGAAGAAGCTTTCAGGAGATGAAGTGATTGGGCTAAAGTCTTACAGCTCGTGTAGGGAGGATGAACTTCTCCGCTACCCTCAGGGTCAGTAGCTGGGGTGGGGGTGGGTCTGTGAATTCAACTGACGACAGATAGGTTGGCATTTTATTGTTGCATGCACGGGGCATCACAGAAGGAAGGAGGCGGATACCCAAAGGAGTGGTGAGGTCGGAGCGTTTATGGACCGTCTTAATAGGGGAGTGACGGTCTTCTGGGTTCTCAGATTGCTTTGGACAAATCTTCATTAACACGTTGCCACGGTCTCCTCGTCACGAGGACGGGGGCCCTTCATTTCAAGTTTGATGACCCTGAGAACATGGTGTGGCGTATGGTAGGCGCAGTAAGTACAGATCAAATCGAGCACCGTGTCTTTTTTACGCTGGAACAGCTTTCCTTCTCCTTTATGTTGTGAAGCCACTTTCTTTTTTTCGTGGTTTCATCTTTTTCTCACTTTGTTAATGGAACACATGTTTTCTAGTTTGTTTTTTTCTTGCCTTCTATTTGGTCTTCTTTAAGGTGATTCATTTAAAAGCGGCCCCCTCTGAAGAGAAACAGTGCTCTCTCTAAATGAACCGCCGTCTCGATCCAGCTGTCTTCCTGTCATCTTCTGATTGTCTCATTCATCACCATCAAATACTATTAAGTGTCTTTTCCCACTTTGTGCTGCGTAGGCATTCTATGAGCAAATAAAACAGACGTGGTCCCTGATTTTGAGGAGTTCCTCATTTAAACTAGCTTTGGAGCTCTTTAACAACACCCCTGGCTTTCAAGAAGGAAGAATTTAAAACCAGGAACCATGTGAGGACAGTCTCAGTAAAGTAGTGACCAGTCACGGTCTGGTGCAGCGCCCCCTCCAGGCTGTGGCGGGCCCTTCCTCCCTCCCTTTCTGTTTAAAAACGTGCCTCCCGTCCCACAGTCCTGGCACGTGTTGTCTCCTCTGCTTGGATGGCTTTCTCCCGACACCCACCTTTGACCTAGTTTATGCTCGTTTTATTTACAGAGTCCCAGATTCCCTGGATACACTTTCAGAAATTTCTTCGAATAAACAGAATCGTTCTTATCCTGGTAAGATTACACACAGTTTTATGTTTCTAGTAGTTATTCCTTTGCTTTTATTTACTGACACATCTTATTGTGAAGAATATATGTATACCGAAGAGTATATAAAGTGTTATCTGTACAGTTTAGGTTCTCATAAAGCAGACATCTGCTAGCCTCGCACAAGCCCAAGGGGATGAGGACTTGAATGAAAAAAACCCCTAGCTCTTCTACCTCCCTTTTCACATGCCTCTCCTCAGCTTATCAACCTCGAATTTTATGTTAATTTTCCTCCCTCCCTCCCTCCCTCCCTCCCTCCCTCCCTCCCTTCCTTCTTTGTTATTCATCCACTTCCAGAGAGAGGGGAAGGGAAGAAGAAAGAGAGGGAGGGAAACATCGTTGTGAGGTTGCCTTCCCCCACCCCCCTGCACTGGGGACCTGGCCCTCAACCCAGGCCTGTGCCCTGACTGGGAACCGAACCGGTGACCCTTTGGTTCGCAATCTGGTACTCAGTCCACTGAACCACAGCAGCCAGGGCTCTTTTTAAAGATTTTATTTATTTATTTTTAGAGAGGAGAAGCAAGGGTGAAAGAGAGGGAGAGAGGGATAGAAACATCAATGTATGTTTTTTTATCTGGTACCTAAAACATCCTCGCCGAACCCAAGGTTGTCCTGACTTTCTCCTGGTGTCTTCTGGGAGTTTTATCATTTTGCGTTTTACATTTAGATTTATGATCCATCGAGCTAATGTCTTACGAAAAGTGTGAGATCTGTGCCCAGATTTACTCATTTATTTATTTATTCCGGCACTGTTGACGGGAAGGACTGTCCCTTTCCTGCTGAATCTCCTGTGCTCTTCTGTCAGAGGTCGGTCGGCTGTATTTGTGTGTCTACAGGGTGCAGCACAAATAACGCCCCTTTGTATTATAGTATCTTTTATTACAAAATCATTAGCATGTAATTCTGTAACATGATATCACACTCAAGCACACCCTGTGACATTTTAGGTGAAATGTTTCAATTAAAACTGTGAATTATGACACCCACGTTATTGCCCTACCAACCAGGCTGAAGCAGGCCTCACTTCTGCCGCACCCGGTGTTTGTCTGTGTTTGCTAATACCACCCCATCTCGTTACTAGAGCTTTGTAGCAATTCTGTAAGTCTAGTAGTGTCAGCGCTCTGACTTTGACCTTCTTCCTCCCCATTTTGTTCATTATTCTGGGCCTTTGCCTTTTCATATACACTTACAGTCTGTTTGTTGATGTCTATAAAATAGTTTGCTGGCATTTTCATTGGGATTGTATTGTGTGTATAGTTAAAACTGGGAAGAACTGATCTCTTAATGATGAGTTTTCCTATCCATGAATATAAAATACCTCTAGTTATTTAGATCCTTTTAAATTTCTTTCATCAGAGTTTTGTAGTTTCCCTCATGTAGATTTTATACATGTTTAATTAGGTTTATACCTAAATTATTTCACTTCTGGCTGTTAATATAATGGTATTGCTTTTATAATAATTCTTTTTATCATATATCAGCTTTCTTTGTATTTACTTATGCTATTTTGTTTTATATTTTTTCAACATTTTTATACTTAAATATTTTTTCTTTCTTGATGTAATTCTGACTATGTTCCTTCCCTCCTGTTACCACATTTTATTCTCTACTTGTATATCCATAAATATGCTTCTTAGTGATTACTCTAGGTACTTTGATGTACATACTTAGCAAAATCTAAGTAATCATAATGTTTACTCTTCCCCAAATAAAAGAAAATTTTTAGAAACTGGGTTATTCTATTTCTATTTTATTTTCCCCACATATTTTCCAAACTATTATTATAATAGTTTTATATATAATCAGTACTTATTTAATTTGGTCACATATTTGCAAATATCTTTGGTCATTAATCCTCGAAACTTCTACTTGGAATCATTTTGTTTCTACCTAATGTACATTCTTTAAAAGTCCTTTTAGAAAGGGCCTGTTGGTAGCAGTCTCTCAGTTTTTGTCTTTTCTTTTTTTAAAAATATTTTATCTAGTTATATTTAGAGAGGGGAAGAAAGAGGGAGAGAACCACCAGTGTGTAGTTGCCTCCCACACGCCCCCTACTGGGGACCTGGCCTACAACCCAGGCATGTGCCCTGACTGGGAATCAACTCCGTGACCCTTTGGTTTGCAGGTGGGCACTCAGTCCACTGAGCCCCACCAGCCAGGGCAGTTTTTCTAATGACAGTTTTACTGGGTAAATTGAACACTTAGTGAAAATTTAAGTTTGACAATATTTCCTCCCTGCACACTGGCAATATAATAATTCTGTTTTCTGTCTTGTCATTTTTTTTCTTTTTTTTAAAATTAATTTTATTTAGTTATTTTTCAACTTCTGTCATTTTTTTTGAGAAGTCCGCCATGAGTCTGAGTGTATACTGCTGTAGGTGACTTTTCGTTCTGACCACTTTTAAAGGTCTCCGTTTCCTTTTCGCTGTGGTTTCTCTGCGATGTGTCTGGGTGCGGATTTCTTTTGTTTATCCAGGTGGCATCGTGGGTCTTCCTGAATCTGGAAATCAGTGCCTGGTCAGTTCTGTGAAAATTCTTGTTCATATCCTTAAATTATGTTCTCCTTCATTCTCTTTGTTATCAATTTCTGAAACTCTGGTGGGTGGAAGAGCAGACTTGCTCGCTCGCCCGGGCCCTTCTCGTCTTGGTCACACTGCGTCTCCGTGGACGGCCTCTGGGTGGCGTCAGAGCTCCTCCTTCCCTGGTCCTCTCTCCAGCTGTGCATATTCAGCCCCTTACTCCGACCACAGAGTTTTTGATGATGAACTTTTAATTTCTTTTTGTCAATCTGTTTGGTCATTACTTACTGTCATTTATTCTTTCCCCACATTTTCAGGTTTTTTCTTTTGTGTCTTTAAACATTTTAAATGTTGTCTTTTATTTTATGTTAAATAATTCAATACTTGAAGTCTTTGTGAATCTGATTCTGCCATATGTTTCCATCGAGGCCAAATCGTGGTGCCTTTCATTTGCGAGTTTTGTAGTTTGTTGTTGTAAAATGCTTCTTTTACTCAGAATTCAACGTATGGGGATTTCCGAGGCCTGGGTGGAGGCCTGCGGGGAAAATCACATTTACTTCGGGCAGCTGTCTCGAGGCACCGACAACCGGGACTGTTTAAATTTATTGCCTCTGAGACTTTTAAAAAATATTACACAGATAAAATAAAACTTGTGCATGATCACCAATTTTGAGAGAAGAAAATTTTGCCTTCTTTTGAGCATTGATGTTAACACAATCCAGCTTCCCTTTGTTTTTGTCCAAATGGTATTTTCTTCCGGTTTCTCTAACCTTACGTGAGGGTGAGCAGCTTGGGATTATCACTTTAACCCGGAGTCTGGTGAGAACCCTCACCTCAGCAGCTCCAGGCCGTCCGTCCTTCCCTGTCTCCTGGAAGGTCGGTGAGGCAGAAGCATCTCGTGGCCCGTGGTGGTGGGTGGCTTTGGTGCTTAGCACCTCACCTCTCATGGTTCCTCTTAGTAGGTCTTGGTCTCTTTGAAATTCTGCCTTTTGTGTCAGCTGAACAGTATTGAAAACGTTATAGTTGTTTTAAATTGTACTCGCTTTAATCAAGAGAGTCACTCAGTGCATCTGGTCTGCTGTTAACTGCCAGGGTTGAAATCCCATTCTTGGTAAAAACATCTTTTTAGAAACTTACCTTGTGTAAAAAAAATTACTCTGTGATTGGGATGACAGCAGTCAGAAGCTCTGAAACTCACTACTTAATATTTTATAAATTGGTTATATTTTGTGATAGTGTTTCAAAATTATGTTATCCTTTTTATATGATTTATCAAGATTAATATTTCAGAAACAAAGATTCAGTTTTATCAATGTATAATTCAGTTTTATTTGGTCTTCAAGAAATTTTATAACAAAACTTCCAAAAGTGATGTCATGATCTTAACTTGTTCATATAGGTGCATTGCATGTGAGAAAGGTAAGATAAGAACTTGTCATGAAATCTAAGTGGCTTTTACATTCTGGATGTATTTATTTTCTTTGCTTTCTGTTTCCAAAGAAACATTTGAGCTAATAGAACATCTATAGAAGAAATGATGAGAGATAACTTTTAATAAGTACTGCAAGTTTGTGATTTATTTTTCCTCTTCTGACCTTAACTTTCATATTTAGGTTTTAGGAGAAGCTTTAGTACGACTTCTGCTTCTTCCCAAAAAGAGATTAACAGAAGAAATGCTTTTGCCAAGTGAGTATTAAGAAGATTTAGAAAAACACCTTACAGGAGGAACAGGACGAGATTCTGTGAGGAGAGAGAAGTAGAATATTGAATCCTTTACATTGCTCGGTGGAATTTTAACACTTAGGGGAAGAGGTGTGAGGGGTGTAGTGGGAAGGGTTCTTCCTCTCTCTTCTGCAATAAAAAAAGTGTCAGCAGTGACTGAAGGTACTCTACTGCATATATTTTCAAATTTGTTTAGTACTGTTAATAAAAGTTGGAGGAATTTGCACTTTGTGTTATAATTGAATAGGGTGGATCGATTTTTTAAACCGTTTACTTAGTTAGTCAGAGATTTAATATTTCCAGGAACTCATGAAGGAAGTGTCAGGCCTGTTTACATTAAGGTAATCTTCCAGCCTTTTGAAAAATCTCCCCCTGGTCTTCTGGAGTATGCTGCCAAAGTGCTTTTTTTTTCTTTGTTTCTTATGGAGAGAATCTGTCTGTCTTTTTTTTCATTTAGATTTATTGATTCCACACCCACTTTACTTCCCCACACAGTTGTCTAAGACTTTTAGAAACTCTTTTACTTTTAGAGGAATGTGAAGCTCTTCCAGATTGTTTGGGTTAAAGGGTTTTTTTCATTTTTATTTTTAAATTCTTCCAATAAATCTATGAGTGATGTCTTGGGTAGGGGGTAATGGTTCCCGAGTGGGGAAGTGCATATGCTTGCTCAAGTGGTGAGACCCTGGAAGCCCCTGGAAATTAGAGCCCAGGCAGTGACCTTGACCACCTCTAAGCAGCAAGGGGTCCTTTCTGCACTAATCGGGCCCGAGGTCGTTGGGCGGCTTCGAGGAGACACGCAGAGCATTGGTCCTCTGAGCTGTGAGGTGCTGGTCAGCGGGGCTGGGTGGGTGTTTGCTTCCCTTCCCCAAAACCTTCACTGATTTTGAGAATTTTGAAATTCGTCTCTTTAGTTGAGTAGCTGAGTGAGTTTAAGGGCGGTAAGTCGATGCTTCACTTTACTGAAGATATTCAGGAATTCTTAGAATGGAAGAAAGTGCTAAGGAGACACCAGGATGTGCGTAAGGGGGAGAGGCGCAGAGGGAGTGTCCGAGGTTGGTGGGTGGGAGTGGGCTGCCCAGACGGGAGGCGGGGCGGTCTGAGCGTGGGGACCCCGGACACGAGAGGACTGTGTCCGTGCTCTGTGCGTGTCCCTCGGAGAGGACATGAAGGAAGCTTTACCGACTCCTGCAGATGGAGACTTGGCGCCTGTTTGAGAAAATACTCTTGAGGATATGTATTCAATTTTAAAACTCATTTATTTTTATTTATAGAGTATGTGACCAAAATGCGTGGTGATTAGTGTTGCAGGGAACAAAAGAACAAAATAAAGACCTTAGGTGCTGGCTGGTTCAAGGGTCTTAAATAAATCTTTATATATGCATATATATATGTGTATGTATATATATGTGTGTACATATACACATAAATATATATGTGTATGTACATCTTAAATCCAGTTAGTGTAATATTAAAATAGTAAAAAGAAAAAATATTCTAAACTATTAAACAAAAGTATATTCTAATATTGTTAAGGTTTTTATCCTTAACAATTGTGAGGTGTTTTCTTAGCGACTGCATGGGGAGCCGGCCGCGGGCGTACTGCGGGAGCCGCGCCCAGCCCGACCCGGCCGTCAGTCTGTCCGTCTCTCTGTGCGCAGGTCCAGGCCGGCCCTGCGGCGCAGCTGGAGCGGCGCGGCCCAGGCGGGCGCAGAGCGGGGCGCGCGGCTGCGCGAGGGCGCGCAGGTCCTGCTCACCAGCTCCAACGAGATGGGCACCGTGAGGTACGTGGGCCCCACGGACTTCGCCGCGGGCATCTGGCTCGGGCTGGAGCTCCGAAGCGCCAAGGGGAAAAACGACGGAGCGGTGGGTGACACGCGCTATTTCACCTGCAAACCGAACCATGGCGTCTTGGTTAGGCCGAGCCGGGTCACCTACCGGGGGATAAAGGGCTCCAGGCTGGTGGACGAGAACTGCTGAGCCGAACTGGAGTGTTCAGTGAGTGTGCGCGCGCTGTGAGTGTGTACATACACTTGTGTATGTAGGGCGTGAAATACGGAGTCCGTGGCACCTGTAGACCGTAGCCATTATTTAAAATTTGGAAATAGGCTATCTTCCTAAAAACCGCTCTAACAATCGGAGAGACGCCTTTAAAAAGCTAGCAGTGTGAACTGTGGGAATCACGTCTCTCTTAAAACAATTTTGAAGCTAGTATTTTAAAAAGTTTGTGAAGCTTTAGACCCAAGAAGATTCTGAGAGAAAAAAATGTGCCAGTAGGCGACCAGCTGGTGCTGCTTACTCTGTTTCGTGTTTGCACGTGAGATTGGACTTAATTTTTTGCACATGTTTAGCTTCCTTATTGGACAGATCTCTCTCTCTCTCTCTCTCACTCTCACTCACTCTCTCTCTCTCTCTCTCTCTCTCTCACACTCACACACACACACACACACACACACACACACACACACACAGCACTTTTAAAACATGATGCACTTTCATCTTTTCCGTCATTTCCTTCTGGGATGGAAAAGCTTATATTTAAGAGAAGAGTGCAAATTGAGATGTGTTAGAAAGAATATAGTGTTCATTTGTTTATTCTTGATTTTTTGTTTTATTATTCATACAGCTGATTGTTGCAAATTCATCCTGTTATAAAGCTACAGAACTGTATCATGTTTTTATTTTCCTTGCTGAGCACATGGTAACAAGCTGAGCTTCGTCACAGAGTGATGTAATAATGCGGAGCACTTGTGTTGTGGACAGTGTTGAAGTTTATGGTCCTGTGTGTGTAATGATTTATCTCCACTTGTACACATTCAGACCTTAAACTACAACAGAAATATTGGGACAGTTTGCTTTATGAGATTAAAATCATCCTTCAGAATGGAGCTTACTTTTTGCTTAGAAATAATATGTTGAACTATTTTGTAATATGCTATTTAAAATCTAAACTCTGTTGCTTTGCCGCCTTTTTAAAAAAGAAGTGTGGCATTTCAAATATTGCTAGAGCTATTTTCCTGAAATACATTTGCAAAATGAGGCTGCTTTATAACCAAGGAATATTTTTATTGATTGAAGAAAATGACTGTACTGCTATTCAGAAGTAAACTTATTTTATTATGTAGCTTATTTCTTAAAGACTCTATTTATACTTTAACGTGCAATCCCTGATTATACTGAACTTGGGTGTCTGTCATTCTTCCTGTTAAATATAAAACACTGTAAGTTAGAAACAATAATGCCAACACTGAATTTATTTTGAGATCGGAGAACCAATTGCTCTCATTTAGGTTAGGGTTATGAAATCCATTTAATAATGTGTGTGTTGACAGATACTACACATACAAGTTCAGCGTTTTCATTTGTGTTTTGCTTATTAAATGTCGAAGTTCACTTCTCGAGCATTAATAAAAAGGGAAGATATTTGGGTTTTGGAGGGGTGTCTTCTTGTCATTTATCTGCAACCACATTTGCCCAGTTAACTCAGAGTACAGGTGTTTCGTACTTAACTTTTTCCCCCCTAAATGATGTGGGTTTGCCTCATCCTTGTAAAGCCTCTTAAACAGTGCCAAGCTTTCTACTCAACAAGTAGAGTCATGTTTCTAGCCACCCCTATTGTCGTCTTGTTCTGATGGACTGAGAGCCCTCTCAGGAAAAGAACGTGTTTCTGCAGTTTTCTGAAATTGCTTAATGTCTTTCCTATGGGTGGAATTTCGTTTGTTTGTTTAAGGCAGGATAGAACACGTTGAAAGACTTTAAAAATATATAAGTAGTTATCGACATTCTACTAAAAACTTGGTTTCCATATTTTAGGGTAACTTGGTAGGAACATTTTTAAGGGCTTCAAAGCATTTGCATATGGGCATTTGCTGCCTCTGAGCCGAGACGCCGTGACCTCGGAGTGAGTCCCTTCACCAGCCTCTCCTGAACTCCTCAGCCCCCCTCGTGCTGAATTTTTCTCCTGGGCATTTGGTGCCCCCGACCACGGTAAACCTTTTGTTTATTATTTCTCTCTCCCCTCACTGGATTGAGGGACGGATATTTGGCTGTTTTGCTCATCACTTTGTTCCCAACACCTGGAAGAGTACTTGGCTCCTCGCAGGTGCTTGGCAGTGGTCACTGAATTGAAAGAGGCAGTGCCGGCCGCCGGCCCTCCCAGCAGAGACATAGTCTGGCTGGCTTCAGACGGGCCGGGCGGGGTGGGCCTTGAGAGAGCCGGCCACGGAACCGGGAAATTTTCCCAGGTAAGAAAGGAGAGAGGGCCAGAAAAGTTTGAGTCGCATGGTGCAGCTTTACCCCAGAATAGTGACGCGAAGAAGGGAGAAGGGCGTCAGGGGCAGGAAAGGGGACACGAGTGACACAAACAGGAGCATGTAAGGCGATTCCTTTCTGTTTCCCTGGGGCTGGCTTTGAACTTCTCTTTTGCTGTGACGATAAGTTAGGGACCAGTGATACGGGTCGTCTGAGCTAGAGAGAATGGCTGGATCTTACCTGTGTGCGCGCAACGTCTGTCTCTGGCACCAAGCATTTTACGTCAGGGTTTCCTTTGGACCTATGGACATAGAGTATGTGGCAGTGTTATCTGAGCCACAGTGACGGAGGCTGCAGACCTAGTGTGTTAAGAATCAGTCTTTTAAAAAAAAATTTGTATTTACTGATGAGAGAGAATAGAATTGTTATTCTCTTTATTTATGCATTCATTGGTCGATTCTTGGTATGTGCCCTCATCAAGGATTGACCCTATAACCTTGGCCTGTTGGGACAGTGTTCTAACTAACTGAGTTACCTGGCTAGGGCAAGAATCATTCTCTCTTTTTAAAAAGTTTTTAAAAGATTTTATTTATTTATTTATTTTAGAGCGGAAGACAGGGAGAAAGAGAGAGAAACATCACTGTGCAGTTGCCTCTCATGCGCCCCCTACTGGGGACCTGGGCTGCAACGCAGGCATGTGCCCTGACTGGGAATTGAAACAGTGACCCTTTGGTCCGCAGGCTGGGACTCAGTCCATTGAGCCCCACCAGCCGTGGAGAATCATTCTTAATTAAGAAACAGATGTAGTCATTTTAACTCTCCACCAGTCATTTGTTATCTAAATGATTCACTCAGAGACCTGTAATATGTATCACCACACTGCAAGCCAATGGGAGAATTTACTTTTTATTTGCCTTCATGCCCTTTGCTTCACTACACTTCTTTAAAATACAAATACATTAGTTAATACAAAACTCACATTGTCACACATATGTCTAGTAATTGTTTAATAATCCCCCTTGGTACATACATAGACCCTTATTTACAAACGATGTCACATCAGCTGCTTGAACAGATAACAGATAATCCCACTGAAGCTTGTGTGTAGGCTGAACAAGTTGGGCGTGTTAAGATTTTATGACAAGCTGGGTATGATGCCTTTGTATAGGTAATGAGAATGTTTTCTACCAAAAGCTTTGCTAACGCTCGTTGTTACAGGAAGGAAAGGCATATGCGTGGAGGAATTGGAGTGCCGGGCACGTGTTACTGGCAACAGTACATTTTCATTCTGTTCGGTGACAGCAGGACCGTTTTTATGTTTACAGCCTCTCCCTTAAGGAGAAAGGCACCAAGGGGTGGGGGGACCCTTTCACCTCTCATCCCTTCAGAGTATCTTATAATGGATGGAATTTTCATGATAAAGCAGCAGCAAATGTCATCACTTACTGTGCTCTTCAGGTAGGGAGCGTGGTGCTGAGGAGGGAGCAGGAAGTTCTGGATTATCTCAGTGGAGATATTTTAGGTGTTTACACTGAAGGTATTTGCTTCAGCTGTAACCTGTTCCCAGTGACCAATGGTGTTGTTGAAAAAAAAAGCTCATAAATCTGTAAGTCCTGCTCTGAAACCCTAAATGAGTTCAGATGTACAAAGGTGTTGCAACTGCAGGTGTTTAGGCGTTTACACGTGTGTATACCTCGTAAGCTGCTTTGTCCACGGGAACGTGTTCTCAGGAGTGAGTACTTGGAGTTGTTTGAATTGCATGAATCAAATTAAATAGTCTCAGAGTCTACTTGCACTGCACTGAATTTAAATTTAAAGCATCTCTAAAGAGTAGGGAGTTTAAAGAGCCAGATGCTGTGTTCCTGACGTGTGTCAAACTCACAGAGGTTAAGTTATTTCACCTTCAGCCTAATTGAGTTTGTCATGGCTTTGCTTGAAGTAGACGTACCTTCCTGAAGACTGAACTGATTATTTTTCACACGACAAATCAAAATAGACTTACATGGAAGTAAATCATGTTGAAATTATGCACACAGATTCAGGCTGTTCTTCTTAGTAGTAGTAGTTTTCCTTAAAATGCTGTCTGGATTCAGCTTACATCCCAGTCAAGAGTTAATGGCATTGGCTGTCCCTGATAGTTCTTGCTATGAAGGATAGGTGTTACTAGCCAATGTTTTTGGGAAAAAACATCCTAAAATGGATTTTAAAATGAATTTTAATGGTCATCACAAGCCCCATTTTGATAGCAGGGGAAATGGATTTTGCATTATGGACAACAGAGAAGAGTAAGGTGAAAAATTTGAGTCCTGTTCATTGAACTTGCCAATAAAAATGGTTTCTAATAATAGTTCCAATAGATTATACATATTAGTTAAAAAGTAATTTTGTCAAATGGTCTTTTTCTTGAAGGGAGGAAGGCTTAGGGACTTAAGAAATAGCGTGAGATTCCCTGAGGCCTCGCCACACATGCCCCGGTGTGTGGCCAAGGAGAGGCCCGCTCTGCTTGGTTTCTTACCTTATAAAACATCACCAGCTGCTTCCTGCACACACATGAGGAGAAAAGAATTTCTCTCTTTTATATTACTTTATTTCTTCTGAGAGCTGTGAAGTACCATATAAATATTACCTTGAAATAATGTGAAAAGATCTAAATCTATTATTTTCCTTGACCTTTAGATGCACTAAAATGCACATAGCTTGCCTGCAATCTTTTACCTTTTGGCGGGTTATTCGAACAGGCTGTCTTTGTTGGATTGTGAATCCACTATAAAGCTATATAATTCACAACAGGTTTCTAAAAATTGCCATTCAGCAGTGGCACGTGTCTATAAATCTGAAAAGAGGAATTCTATTCGATTCCATGGAAACCAGGAGAGAGGACGCTGTTCCTAGTGAATTCCTCACTTTAATGGCATCGGGACACCTGCTCGGGGAGGCGGGGCTCCGAGACGCCTCCTGGTCTCTGTCACGTGCCTCATTCTGGGCTTTGGTACTTCACTTTGGGATGGGAGATGCAAACTGACAACTGACAGAAAGTGCATCAGATTTCTTATCAAATATTAGATGTGGTAAAGGATGATGTTCAAAGGGTTAAGTTCTATAATTTTGCTTTGCTAATAAGGCTGCACTTGTAGCAAATGTAACAAAAGAGAAATAAGTGGTGTGATTC